ACGCTGATGCCGGCGGTAGACGGAGGTCTCTGGAAAGGACATTGCCTGGGTTCAAGCCCGGGAGTGGATCATTTCTAAGGGGGGCTTCCCTTTTTTTTATTCATCTTTTAAATGATAGATATTATCTTATTTTGCGTTAACACACTCCTGATTTTTTTTTCTCTCTTGTTGTTTTGACTACAGTGGTTAGTAAGAGAAAAGTATTATCTATGGATAGCTGGCTCATGTATTGGTGGGGATCTGTTATGGTTAGTTTAAAATGTATGATTGTCACCGAAGCCCCCTTGCAGCTCAGTGGTTAAACTCCTTGGTTTCAGTCCCGGAGTATTGACGCTGATGCCGGCGGTAGACGGAGGTCTCTGGAAAGGACATTGCCTGGGTTCAACCCCAGGAGTGGATCATTTCTAAGGGGGGCTTCCTTTTTTTTTTTTTTATCTCTTAAATAATAGATATTACCTCATTTTGCGTTAACACGCTCCTCATTTTTTTTTCTCTCTTGCATGCCTGTACAGTACCTTTTGGAAGACTGCTTGCTGTAGCTGAACTGGACATATATCTAGCCAAGATCAGATGACCTAGTCGAAGATCGGCATATATCATTGTTTTCTCCCTCACGAAGACGTTCTTAACTTGCTTTCATCTACGCTAACCCGAGATAATAAACCTGTGTTCTACAGTACTACTGTCATGGAATACGCCAGGAACTTTCCAAGTACGGCGATGATCAAGAACCTATGTTGATTGTAATATTTCTATGTAGCAAGCAACTTAGCTTCCACAATTTTCATCTGTATATTATCTCAGCTATCCACCATATACCTAGACGTACATGTAGGTCTGTTAGCAAAGAAGTATTTCAGGCGTTGGTGGTCTGGTCTTCGTATTCAAGTTCTGCGAGAAGGTTGAAGTAGATGTCAGCAAGGCCTGATCTGTGACTTGGGCTGCAAAGTGAGGGTCAGTCTGTTATTTATAGCACGTGAACCTGCCTTTGGCACGGATACTCCTGCGGTAAAGAGACATAAGAGTCTCGACAGAGGCCGGATGGGGGTGCCGAGATCTTGTAAGTGACGGTGAACACTAGATACTAGGCTGATGATGCTGGTAAACTTCTGTGTACCGATTCAACCTTTCAGTAGTTGCTGAAGTATTTGGCTATTTGGCGTAGGCAGCGAAAACCGTTCGGCTAGGAACTCGAACAAGCCATGGCATTCGTAGTGCCAGTCCATACATCGATTGGTTCCGGGTATTGGATGCTCCCAGTCAGCAGGCAATCCCAAGTCTCCCAATTCTTTGGGTTCTCGATACAGATGTTCCGATCACCTAACCAGGCGCCTGGACGTTGGGACCATGAGCGAAGTCAACCAGAGGGTTTGAAGTTGCGCAGGGTTTATCCAACCAGAGAACCCTTGTCTCGAAGCTGTACTTTCTCTGCGTGGCGAACACCCCAGACTCAGGCGTTGCTTATGTTGGCCCTCAGACTCTTCGCGGAAATTCGGAACGGCCTTGCGACCAGGTAAACTGATGGGGTCTACTAAACCAGTCAGTTGTTCTGCACTTTTCAGTTGTTCTGCACTTTTCATCAGGGAATAACTTACTCGAATGAAGTTGAACATTTCGGACAATGAATTTGTCGAGCCTTCTGGAGCTTTCAGAAGTGTCCCAAGTGCGATGGTGGTATTCTTGATTCCGTGGTCTTCGTCAAGAATATATGTTGATAACGATATCATGAAGTACCGACCCGGTTATACAGTGAACCGGCATGGTAACGACATCGGAGTTTGAATGTCATTCCGAGACCGCGGTAATGTGGAGGAGTCATTCCGGCTCCCATTGATGTTGATAAGTCGGCCAGAGTGAGGAGGTTATTGAGAGTCCAGCGAATATCGGTCTCGCTCGGTGGGCCATGTCCGAAGCCGCCGCCATAATGAGGATTGAAAGGCTTGGTCGTTGCTGCGCGATGGAACTGCAAAGGAATCAGATTAAATGTCAACGATCAGTTCGTGGAAGGCTGAAATTCGGTGGATGGAGCGACTTGAAAGTGACAAAGTCAAGCATAAAGCAGGGCAAACCTAGAGAACTGAGGATTTCAGAGGTGGTAGGTGTAGTAGTGAAGTAAATGAATAGAAGTTCAAGTAGGAAATGAGCAGGTAAGAGGAGTCTGGAAGGAGCGAGCGTAGTATAAGCTGGAATCACAAATAGTACATCCCACTTCTGCCATGGAACTATTCAAAGAGGATACGACAAAGAGCGTTCAAAGGAGATCTAATGATACATATACTAAAAGTTAATGGAAAGAGTTTAGAAGCATATTGAAAATCACAGTTAAGAAAACACCCAAAAAGAAATCTGATAGACATTGATACATAAGAACTACATGTGCCTACACAGGGAAGCCTTGTAAGACAACAGACTATCTCTTACACTGTTGACATAGATGGAACGCGAGAATATAGGCCGGATAAGCATTGAAATATAATTGGAATTGGGACTAGAGAAACCAAAATTGGGACTAGAGAAACCAAACAATCTACCATAAATCATAACAGAAGCAACAGTAGGCACATGTTCGTGGAGGTGTGGCCATGTTTATCCAATTGTACCAGACAATAGCAACAATGGCAAGGATGGGGCCCACAGTTGAGCCTCATCTAAGCCCACTAAATGAAGACCAACTGCCCATTGTCATTCCCAATGCGCTCGGACAGGTTGATATCCGCTGGGCATCCGTTTCCATCCACGTCGTTCAAGGTAGCCCGCAGAATAGGGACGTTGTCATCTCCCTCGAGATCGAAGCTGATATCCTCGGCGGTGGACTGGAAGTCACCACCATCCCAGTGGAATCGGCCTAACAAAATCAGTCAGAGAGCCATTGCTATAGGACCGAAGTAGACTGAACACATACCATTGTCGTTCCCGATGTGATCATTGAGGTCGATGGTGGACTCCTGCTCGTCACCATCCTCAGTGCGAAGGGTAGCCTTGAGGATGTGTCCATCCTCAAGCTCAATGTTGGAAGCAGATGCGTGGAAGCTCATATTTTGGATTTGGGAGAGAAAGATACAAAGTAGAGTGTATAGACTATCTATCATAAACTTCCTGGATGGCAAAAGGAGACGGGAGAGGGGACCCTTCTTATATACCCCATCGGGCCAGGCTAATATACCCCGAATCGCGATTTGGCCTAGTACAAGGAATGATGCAGCAAGCCCCGGTTCTTGTCCGACACTTGTCGCCGACTAATTCGTCGCACTGCATCTCGATAGTGTCATGGCGGTTGGAAGAGGTGGGGCATTCATTGGGACGACGGGTGTTCGTAAAGCGGGGAGCCTGTACTCCCAATAAACGGGAATGTTGTTCAAGACAAAGAAAGCTAGCGAGTCGGTCTGTATTCCATACACGGTGTGCAATTGTGGAGAGGACGGAATGGGAGTATCCACACTCGTACACGTCAGTTGGTGGAGTAGACCCCATGTAAACATCTCGGACTGTCATCTTGGCTGGATCTCCGGAACAAAAGAATATCAAGCACATCATCTCAATGTCCAGTTATCGTGGCGCATGGCGACATACCTTCCACAGGCTCCAGCCACAGGATTGACAACATCTTGTGATGTTGCATTGTATATGCATGCCAATGCAAGATTCCGTGACAGCCCTAGGGCAGAGCCACAGGACGTGGGCCGAACATGACCAATGGGTATTGGACTAACTGAGGAGAAACGTTGTTGCCTAATGGAGACAATGCAGTAGACTGGGGCTGATACCTTGCCAAGTCAATTCTGGCATGCAGCCTCATGTTGTCAGTCCTTGGCAAAATATTTGAGAGCGTTTTGTTCACAACCAGTGGCGTTGAGGGGAAGTGTGGCTGGATAAGGCTAGCCTTGTGACTTGGAGGGTTTTCTGGAGGGGCCGAGGTGGATCGGAGGATCAGACACTTCGTTTCATGAAATGTCTCTCATTCTTGAAAAGCCCAATTGAGAGAAACAAAAAAAAAAAAAAAAAAACTACACATAGTTCAACAGTTTACTCCATATAATTGAAACCGTCAGGTCGGTTTTATTCTTTTAAGACGGACACCGGGAGCAGGTATTTATACCCAGCGGCTTTATGTACTAGGGAAACTGTGAGACTCGAGAAGTCACCACCTCTAACAATGAAGTCTTGTAAAAATGTTCAAATATGTATGCAATTGTTCTTAAGAACCTCCAATCCCAATATTAAACGCCCTTAACACCAATTGCAAACTCCCATGCCTTACAAGATCGACAGATGCACAGAATCGACAACCCATCCCATACCAGGTGTATCAACAGAAACACATTAAAATCATAATAAGTCACAGATTAAACACCATTACGGTAGATTTGAGATCCACCAGAACGGATTTGGATGGTGTCACGTCGCTGCAAGACCACTAAGGCACGATTCAGTGCCTGCTCGGTATAGTTCTTGCCATCAACAAAGTCCCGGCGCAGGGTTGCCAAGCTTGTACTCCAACCAATGGGAAGGCGACGCTTCAGCTCGTCTTCAATCTTGCTGCTCTGCTCCATGAGTTCCTTGCTGCCTTGGCCCTCACCCTGGGTGATGGCGTCCATGGTAGATGCCAAGAACAGACGGATGGCCTCATCCACGTGGGCTTCTGTGGCGATAGGAGAAAGGGAGAGTTTGGCGAGAGACTCGGAGATACGGACAATAGCCTCGAGCTGACGGACAGTAATGGGGATCGATGATCGAGCATTGGATTCCATTTCGGCACGGTGGACTTGCTTTCGGATGGAGACGAAATGGGACGAGAGCTTTTCGGCAGCTTCAGGTGACAAACGCGGCGCACAACGACTAGATAGGATGTTAGTATGGGCATAGTTTGAATCAGTAATGAGTGCCAACATACCTGCGACAGTAGCTGATGTAGCGCTTCATCTGCTCAACGGGAATCTCGGCTTCCACCTGCTCCTCCACACCGCGACCACCCATGTGCACTCCCATAACGTGGCGAGCAATCATCTCATCACGGCCGCGCTCGTGTTCGTCGCGGACCACAAAGATCATATCGAAACGGGACAGAATGGTGGTTTGGAAATCTATGTTCTCGCCGGGGGTCTTAAGATCATCGTATCGGCCGAAGACAGGGTTGGCTGCAGCCAGTACAGACGTTCTGGAGTTGAGGATTGTGGTGATACCGGCCTTGGCAATAGAGATAGTCTGCTGTTCCATAGCTTCGTGAATGGCAACTCGGTCCTCATCACGCATCTTATCAAACTCATCAATACACACAACACCACCATCAGCAAGCACCATGGCACCACCCTCGAGGTAGAACTCGCGAGTGGTATTGTCTCGCTGAACAGAGGCTGTCAAACCGGCGGCAGAGGAACCCTTTCCAGAGGTGTAGATGGCAATGGGAGCAGCCTTCTCGACGAACTTCAAAAGCTGAGACTTGGCAGTACCGGGATCACCGAGCATAAGTACGTTAATATCACCACGAAGCTTCATCCCGTCGGGAAGAATCTTCTTTGATCCACCCATGAGCAGACAGACGATGGCTTTCTTTATATCCGCGTTGCCATAAATAGATGGGGCAATGCTTCGAGCGAGTGCATCGTACAAGTCAGGTCTGCGGCTGAGCTCCAAGAATTCTTGTTCCTCCTCCTCCGAGAAGACTGAGGCGCCCTTTGCTGTCTGGTCGACGTCGGAGGTGAGACCCACTGCGCGAAGATAGGGGTTACGGATAGCCACAGCAGCCTCCTTCTTGACACCCTTTGCTTGGTAGATAGAGAAGATGCCCATGACTGTGCAACGGGAACCAGGAACAACGCGGTTGGCAAGGTAGCGATCGGCGGAAACAAGGACGTGTCGCGGCATCTCACCCACTGGCACCTGGTCGGGGGCTTCTTGAAGCTTGAGGACTTGCTGGTCCACAAATTGACATTTCTCGTGGTGAACGACGTAAGGATCCAAGGGACATTGCTCGTTGGGCTGGTCATTTTCGTTCCTAGGTCTACCGCATCGACGTGGCAGCGAGAGGCCAGAGAAGCCACCGTCGACCTGCAGGTTCTCGCTATGGTCGCAACTCTTGCAGCGGATATGAACGATTGTTGATTTGGAAGATATTGTTGAAGCTCCAATGACAATTCCGGGAATGCGAACGAGATGGGAGACATTGGTCGCATTGAGATCACGGATTGAGATGTGCGATGCCGAGGAGTGTAGGAGCAGTTGGTGGGAGGGTAGTATGATATCTCTCTGCCCGGGGAAAACAATTCGTGCAGTACATTGCTTCAAGGCCAGCTCGAACTACTTCGAGTTAGCGAGCGCTAGTATTAGGCGGATGAGAAACTTACAAGTGGGATGATATCGCCAGGCTCGGTGGTGAGTTTGTGGGCCAACTCTTCGTTATAAGAAATGAGATGGGCAATGTCAATATCACAGTAGTATTGTTTCACAAGAGCATTTTGCCGTAATTGATCACTGTTGGATTATAAATTAGCATCCATTGTACCTTGACGGCTTTTAGGTGCGTACCGGTAGACGAATGCATTATCCAGCTGAAATTCTAGCACAAAATCCCGCAGGCGGTTTTGAATGGTGGTGCGATCTTCATCAGCACCATTTGTGCTAGGAGCAAGAACGCTCAAAGTATAGGGGGTGCGTCGATCCATGGTGTAGAGAGCCGCAAATGTGGCAGGTTTGGGGGGTTGATGATTTCGCGGAAGGGAGGCTTCAAGAACTTTTGGTTAGTGTGGCACTAACGCGACGCGTCGAGGGTTCACGCGTTAAGTGGTTTCTGAGTCAGCTATGGCCTTAGGCAACGTTCCGCTGAGTCAGCACGGGGAAGCCCCCGGCCTTAGCGCACTGGCCGATTGGGGAGCCATGACAAGCTTGATGGAAACAAAGCCACATCACAGGCATACGGCACCCTGGTCCCAAGCGAGTCCGGACCAAAGTTGTGAATCGCAGAAGCTGACTTGATCAGCATTGGTCCCTGTACCTGAGCCCGCCGGTGCTCTACTGTCAGGAGTTTATCCACTGTCATGATCAGATAACACGGAACACATCAACGATCGACCCTTCCCCGGTGGCTGTCCGATCCAGCTCGTGACAGCCATGTCGTCAACCAGCCCACGAAAGTCAATTGATAGTTTGGCGTCTGGGGTCTCGTCACCTTCAGTCTCTTATTCAACAAGTCAGCTGGAATCTCCGCGCGCGGCCCCTCAGCGATTCCCCCTGAGGAGGGGATCAACCGCGAGCTCGATCGTGAGCATTGGAGGTGTCCTAGACTCTTCCCATTACCATGGCTCAATCGCAGAGTCTGGGCAGAATGGTTTGTGATCTCAAGAGCTCCCAATTGCTCGATGATTGACCCGTTAACGTCCATCTAGCCATTTCGACCCTTCTCCAGCCCCCAATCATCCGCACTGGTATGACGACCGGTAGTGCCACAGCGTCCGCCAGCTTCAAGCCTCCTTCGTCTCGCGATATTCCTCCGGTGACCCTGACAAATATCAAGCATGTGGATGCAAAGGTCTTCCAGCCATATTTGTCGCAGGTGGGCACATTGTACGATGTGTTTCAACAACCAAAAGAAGGCACAGGGGAGGATCCGCAACCGGTACAGGCTGCCAAATCTCCCAAGCCAGATTCCGATCGCGATTCGTTAATGCCATGGTCGCCTGACCGAAGATCTTCGGTCATATCGACCAGTTCAAGATCAGGTTCGCCATATGATACTCGCGGCCGACGCCACTCCACTGCCCGTGGTCGCGCCCCCGCAGTGACTCCTCTTTCCACCATCCCTCCGGTTTACTTTGAAGAGGACTTTCACCTAGAGAATCCCCGTACGTTCGATGTGATATCGGAGAAATCAGATGTCGTCCGGCCGCCGAGGCCACCGACCAAAGACGACAAACATACCAATGGATTAGTTGCAGAGCCAGTACAAACTGGAAGAAAGGCACTAGCAACGAATGCTATTCTGCAAGAGAAGCTCTCATGGTACATGGATACTGTGGAGATCCATCTTATTTCGTCTATCTCAACTGCATCAAAATCCTTCTTCACTGCGCTAGGATCTCTCCGAGAGTTGCACGCGGAAGCCGCCGACTCGGTTAATCGGATCCAAGTACTAAGAAGAGACCTACAGAAGATCGATAAAGAAATGGCTCTGGGCGGTCTTAAGATTGTTAATTTGAGACGGCGAAGAGAAAATGTACGAATGTTGGCAGCTGCCGTGGCTCAACTTCGCGATGTTGTAGAATCTGTCTCTCGTTGTGAAAGCCTAGTAGAGCAGGGCGATATTGAGGAGGCTGCCGATGGACTCGAGGAAGTCGAGAAATTGATGGCCGGTGAAAAGCTCCCCGACCGTGCCGCTTCGGAGGACGAGGAGGGTGCCCCCAGACGCATTATCGACCTGCGAGGCATCAAGGCCCTTGAGGGAGCATCCGATGATCTGGCACAGCTCCGCCAACGCATTGGCATGGGCTATGAGACCCGGTTCTTGAATGAGCTTTTGGGGGATTTACGAGAGCATGTTCAAAATGTACCGTCGAATGTTACCCTGCAGCGCTGGGGAAACTCATTCCAACGGCAGCGCGGTGGTAACCGGTCTGGAGTATCGGTATCGCCTGCCTACATGGATTTCAATAACGAATTGCGGTCCCAATTGAACACCCAGCTCAACGGACTCGCACGTGCTCGCTATACCATGTCAGCGGCAACTTCTTTCAAAACTGCTGTTTTACGAGAAATGAAGGGCCTTATTCGCAAACACCTTCCCAGTTCTAGTGATGATGATAATGAATCTATGGTGTCGCTATCAACACATGGCGGCCATCAGCTAAGCCAGCAGGAAAAGTCATCAATCCTTGCTCGCAATTTGCGCGCACTTGACTCAGATGATGCTTATGCGATGTTGATAAACGTCTACACTGGAATTAGCGAATCGCTGCGGCGACTTAGTGTCCAAGTCAAAGTTCTTCTGGATATTGCTAGTGGCCTGGGTAATTCGCCAGCTTCCGGTGTCAAGTCACCACCACGGAGCCCCAACCCGCAAAGTATGGATCAAGCTATGAAATCTCCACAGACCGGGCCAACAGCCTCCGACATGGCTCAGGATGAGATCCTGCAGGTTTTGGATATGTCGAGTCTACTTGGCCAAGCAGTTGACATCGCCCAATCCCAGATAACGAAAGTGCTAAAAGTACGATCTGAACAGACCGCCCAGCTTTCCAAGGAGGAGTTCCTCAAATACTTCACTCTCAACCGCCTGTTCGCCGATGAATGTGAGGCTATCTCGGGACGCAGTGGTGCTGCTCTGAAGACGATTGTCGGAAACCAAATCCGCGATTTCATCACCCGTTTCGGTGATGGCCAGCGCCATCAGATTGTCAACGTAATGGATTCCGACCGATGGGATGCACGCGATTTCGGAGATGCCGAGAACACTATTCTTACTCGGATTCTTGATGCAAGCACGAAAGATATCGAACCCTGGGTTGAGGTTTCTAAGATCTGGACTCAACCTGCTGAAAGCGAGGGAGACAAACCCGTTGATACTGCTGCTGCAAATGGCACAGACAAGTCCAAGGTTCGCAGTGCCGTTATCGACGAGCAGAAATACCTCCTACCTGACTCTGCTGTTGCCATGATGCGCAGCATTGAGGAGTTTGAGTTCCTGATGTCAAATATCCCCAGTGTGATCCAGGATATTGCGCCGCACCTACTAGACATCCTGAAACTTTTCAACTCGCGGTCATCGCAGTTGATTCTTGGGGCCGGCGCTACACGTAGCGCAGGCCTGAAGAACATCACAACTAAGCATCTCGCGCTGTCATCACAAGCATTGAGCTTTGTCATTGCGTTAGTGCCCTATGTACGGGAATTTGTCCGTCGTCATGGACAGGCAAATCCCTTAATGGCCGAGTTCGACAAAGTCAAACGACTATGCCAGGAGCATCAGAGCGGTATTCATGAGAAGCTAGTGGATATCATGAGCTCGCGCTCTTCGATCCACGTGAATGCTATGAAGAAGATCGACTGGAATACCACGGGAGCAACTCCTGCTGTGAATCCTTACATGGAAACTTTAGCCAAGGAGACAGGCACTCTCCATCGCGTCTTGAGCAAGCATCTCCCGGACATGACAGTGAGTATGATCATGGTACCTGTATTCAACAGTTACCGAGATCAATGGACGAAGGCCTTCCAGGAGGCCGATGTGCAGACAGAAGCTGGAAAGAAAAGGTTAGTTAGAACTAATCTAATCCCACTCAGCTCATACTAACCACATACATAGGATGGAAACCGACGTCGAGCATTTCCGAACTAAACTGAGCAAAATCGAAGGTGCCAGCGAGGTTGGCGACAAGCTCCTAGAAGTTGTGCGAGCGAAGCAGATTACCATTACCAGCGAACCCGAGAAGTCCGAAACGAATGAGAAGCAGCAAGATCAGGAAGATGGTTCCGATTCCACCAAATCCTGAGTTGCATTGTCACCTTTTTACCTTATACATATAATTTTGTTCCTGCATGTTCCTTTCTTGCGCGCTCATTCTTGAGCTGTACACCTGTCATTGCCGCTGCTACATAACTGTCTACTTGCATTTATAGAGCTAGCCCGGCGTTTGTGGAGATATAAATAGCAGATGTGATTTTCTAATATTTCGGTTTACGCGTTACTGAACCTGACGTCCATTACCTGTTCATGAACTTCTCTACCTCATTCTTTCTACCCCAAATCTCAAATTGACATGGAAATATCGTGTCTCATTCATAATATGTGCAGCCCATCAAAGACCAAGATACTCATACAGGATAATCGCCATCCATAATGGCAAACTTCATAGCAATTCATTATTTCCCAGTGTCCATCTCAGTGGAAGCCATTACTTCCCAGCAGTGTTCTTCTCATCAGTGGAAACAGGCTTCGCAGCACCACCATGAGGATGCTCTGATCCAACAGTGGGAACACCAGGGTAGACATCGCGGGAAGAGCCAGTCTCTTCGGGCATGGCAGCGGCCTTGTGTGAGCGACTCAAGTCTGCAGGCTTTGGGATGTTAGATTGAAGTGGATTGGATTGGGATTTCAACGGGACATACCTCATTGCCGATGCCGTGGGCCTTGTTGGGACCGTTCTCGATTGGGTTATCGCTCTGGGGGATACCGTTATCGTAGTCTGCGCCGCGAACCATTTTGATTTTGATTGGAGATGTGGTTTTGTAGAATTGGAGTGTTTGTAGATAGAATTGGTTTGTGGAATGAAGTGTAGAAGTGAAGTGTTTGTGAAGAGAATGAAAGGTGATGGTTTAATGTTCTACTTATAGTTGTTGGTTGCCGTGATGACATTCTGAAATCATAGTGGGGATTATGACTTCATGGCCGTTGGATATCAAAATCTTGGCAGAATTACCTTGAATTTCTACATTCATTTCCAAGGGAAGGTAATTAGTGGGGATATGATGTTAGAGATAATCTCACTTGGAAATATTTCAAATTGTATGTTTATTTTGTAGAATACATAGAATTTAATGGAAGCGTTGTGGGCTTGGTCGAATATGTATCCACCGTTTTCCACTTTGTATACATTTTTTTTCACATAGAATGCACTAAACAGTTGTAACGTATTAAAATAGCTAATTTGAGATATACAAAGAAATATACTCACTACCTATGCCATGGCTATAACAGCACAATGAGCATTACAAGTTGTTTTAGTACATTAAGCCATAATACCGAGGGACTGCTATTCTAGAATAGATCCATCTTCTAGGCCTTCATACAATTTGATGACGTCGATTCCTCTGCTATCCACTGATTATCCGCAATATTCGCGGAGAGACAATGCTGTAGACAAGATTGAATCTCAACATCAGGAACATGATATGAAATGGTCATGTATTCTTGTGATCCGTCTGCTCACAAATCCCAACCCTAGCCCGGACCCAAGTCTGAAAACACCCACAAACAGACATAAGAAACAAGGACCAACTTGGGAAACATAACAAAAGAAATCGGATGTGACCGGTCAACTCTCACTAAATGTGAACATGTGAAGACCAACTTGTCTCTTAGCGGTATCTTCGTTTTCGCGCAGCCGATCCCGCACTCAGACACATTTCAAAATTCTCGTCGAGATGACCACCACCCAAGGGAAAGCCCTCTTCAGAGGCAGCATAGAAGCCCATGTGGCCTGCAGGGCCACCCCAAGGCAAGTTGGGTGCGGCGCCTGGGATGGAGATGGAGGCACGATGCAAAGCCCGAGAGTTATTCACTCTCCGAGTACGACCCAAAACCTGGGGAGAGACCACTCCAGATCGACGGGTCGTGCAATGTCGGCACTGTGGGCCAGACCTGAGCGAGGATGGCAAACTGTCGCTGCGAGGGAGGAGGCTGGTTGGCTCTTGGGGAGTAACTGGGTATGGGAGAGGTGGATTTCCAAGCTGAGGGCTGTTGTCACCGCGGTGATAGGGATGACTGTGGAGGGCGCGGTTGCGTCCTGCCAGACAGCCGCCGCACATTGAGGTTGGCCGGTTAGGGTACTGTTGGAGATCACTAGGTGATGCCAACTCCGAAGAACGAATGATTGATGAGATGCCAGCTTCCTGAGAGGTGGGCTTTGCTGCAGCTGAAGGAGGGGATGAGGTACTTGGCAGATGCGAAGTAGATGTTGCCGGAGGCAGAGAAGGCAATGGACCATTTTTGATCTTGCAGTGGAGATTGTATGGTTGGTGGTGTACTGGTGGTGTCACATCATCATGGGCTGTGTCTTCGGGAATGGACATCAAAGCATCATCCCCGGTTTTGTTGCGGATGGCCTTGCACACTTTGCGAATGATGAGTGGCCGGGGTACGATATTTGATGGGATATGCCAGCTGTTGAGGGTGGCATTTCGCCTTGTGTATGTATGGCGCATGAGGACTTCTGCAGTGGACTTCCGGGCACTAGCCCTTGTGTCCGATAATCGTGGCCAATCTGACGAGGGAGCATGTTGAATTAGTGGATCAGCAGCTTGCTGGAATTGTGTGCATGAGCAGATACCGTTCTCAAAAAAAACTGAGCTATCTCGGAGAGCTGATGTGATGAGGCAGCATAATGGTGGATCAGGTTGATGTGTGAAATACAAATCTGGAAGTTGGGGAGGCAAGTCTTCAATCACTGAGGAACTGGCCATCCCAGCATTGAAGGCGGCGAAAGCAGAACGTACCTGCCGAGACTGTGTTTCTTCACTTAATTCGGCAGGTAAGACTGGGCTCATTGACCTAACTGCGGAAAGCTCGTACGTATTCCTATGAACCTCAAATACAGAAATCATGTCCTCAGACTTCTCATCATCATTATTAAACACAGACCGGTCCGGGTTCGTGATTCTTAGAATAGAATACCCATCCCCTTGCCAGCTTCCACTGGGATCGTCTGGATTGTTAGGGTGGGTGGGAGTCTCATCCTGACCGACTCCATTGACCAGTGGGCCTTTGGCCACACATGAATCCAGCTTAGGAGACTGATGTTGTGGACTATCTGCCCATGTGGACGTAAGAGTCAGATCTAACAGAGAGCTATCATCTGTGCTGATCAAGGATCTCCTCCCTGGGCTCGATACCTGGAGATCACTGTGATCCCGAAAAAAGCGACTCGGATATCGATCATTGAGTGCCCCACGAACGATGCGATTGAGCTCACAGTCTGGGACAATTCGACAGCGCTTCCACTCAATCTTGTTGATCAATCTGATCCTCACGTTGCCGAGAGGAGTGAATACCCAACTTCTCAACCAACGCTTTACCTTGGCCCGCTTGCGTGTCTTTCTCCTTTCAAACATGCCTAATGTGGTGGGTGATCGAAGCTCAGAGCTCGCAGTTAGAAGAGAGGAATGTCGGCGAGCGGGATGCTGCAGAGGCTCTCTTTCTTGAGGTTTCATCTCGCTCAGCCCTGCTTATATATATCTGGTCTGGTATACTGGTACTTCAGAGATCGACATCAATGAGCCTTTCATTTGATGCATTTCGAACAAGTAACACAACATTGTCATGAGGACTCCATCTCATTTACAATGAGGTTGCGAACAAACATGTATTTGAGATTTTTGACATTCTTTGTTCATGATGTTGTCAACAACGATGAGCTCTTTGTTCGTCAAGGATCTCTACTCTGATGACTCAACAGCGGTGTATTACATACCCATGGAGGTAGCAGGGTATGGTAAAAGAAACATGGTCTTACCATGCTGGAATTCATTGCAGAATCTATATCTTGAATGACCTGTTTAGTGCTGGATAGAGTCGAAATTTCCCAGATAGACGCATCTTGGTCAGGCATTTCAAAATCTCGGAGATATTCTTCTTCAGGGAGATGACTAGGTAGTGACAAGGAACACAGTGTTGTACAAAATAAGCAGTTTGTATGTGGAATGTAGTACGGTATAGGTATATTTCAACACCAATGAGGGAGTTGGACCAAAATGATCATCCCCCTTCAACATGGTCCTAGCATTCTTCTCACCAATAAATATTGTTGTATGCAGCCATCTGAAGCCATCTGAAGCCATCTGAAGCCATCTGAAGCCACGTGAAGCCATTTGTGCCTGTCTTGGTGGTTGTTTGTGCCGATCAAAAGCTCTGGCGGGGCTTCCGATGGTCAGTGGAGGATATGACATCATTGAACTCCAGCTTTCCCCAGATCGGATGAAATGCAATTGAATAGGCCATGACCTTTGTATGTGTAAACTGAGATGGTAAATAACTCCAACATTAACCGGAGAAACCGGAGAAGCATAAAGACAGTAAGGGGAGAGAATATCGGAAGAGAGAGGACAGAGCAGGGTAGAGCAGAGCAGGGAAATCCCACTTTGGTACTGTTACTCCTGGTTCCACTGTTACTACAGTTACATAGGAAGTACCAGGTACATCATACCATAGACAATTCTTAATTTAAATATGAAATCTCTTCAAAATATTTAAAGGTAATTTTCTAAATCTCGGGTGAAATTTCCCTAGCAGAGACTTTTTTAGCCTAAGCGCGCAGTAGCTTCTAAAGGTCACACCCGTAGACCAGTCCGGAGAAAAACTCTTGACACACCGGGACAAGGAACGGGAATCCTTTGCTATTTGACCTCTTCAATCTTCAACCTTCAATTGATCGACATCCCCTCCCCTCCAACTTCCCCCCAACTCCTCCCCCCAGCCACTCCAGAAGCTCTCAAGTCCAGGGTCCACTTCTCCCCGCACAGACCGAGTCCGACAGCTCTTCCAAGGTTGTTGCGCTTCCCCCCCCCCTCTCTCCTCGCTTTTCATTTCTCTTTCGCTTTTCTACCTTTGGGCATAATGGAAGAAAACGGCGAACCTATCAAGCGTGATGTGCGCAACCACATGCTATTCGAGGTGGCCACTGAGGTGGCCAACCGAGTAGGAGGAATCTACTCGGTCCTCAAGTCCAAAGCTCCTGTGACCACCGCAGAATATGGTGAGCGGTACACCCTGATCGGTCCACTTAACAGGGCTTCAGCGGCGGTGGAGGTTGAAGAGCTTACGCCGACCAACCCGGCTATGCGGGAGACAATCCAGTCTATGAAGGAGCGCGGCATTGACATGGTCTACGGTCGCTGGCTCATTGAGGGTGCCCCTCGTGTTCTACTCATTGACACGGGCACTGGCTATAAGTGGTTGGATGAGTGGAAGGGCGATCTTTGGACTACTTCGGCCATCCCCTCCCCCGCTGGTGATAATGAGACCAATGAGGCCATCGTTTTTGGATACTTGGTCGCTTGGTTCCTAGGAGAGGTACGTTGCCAATTGTTCTCCATGTTGGATAAAGTAAAAGCACATGACTGACCCATGTTCCGTATAGTACATTGCTCACGATCGTCGCCGCGCGGTCATCGCCCATTTCCATGAATGGTTGGCGGGTGTGGCTCTGCCACTGACCAAGAAGCGACACATGGACCTCACAACGGTCTTCACTACCCACGCGACATTATTGGGTCGTTACCTCTGTGCTGGCTCGGTTGACTTCTATAATAACCTCCAGTACTTTGACGTGGATGCGGAGGCCGGGAAGCGAGGAATCTACCACCGCTACTGTATTGAGCGGGCTGCTACTCATGCCTGTGATGTCTTTACCACTGTATCGCACATCACTGCATTTGAGAGTGAGCACTTGCTGAAGCGCAAACCTGATGGCGTGCTGCCTAACGGTCTGAATGTCAAGAAGTTCTCTGCCATGCACGAGTTCCAGAACTTGCACTCCCAGGCCAAGGAGAAGATCAACGATTTCGTTCGTGGACATTTCTACGGCCACAACGATTTTGACCTGGATAATACTCTATACCTCTTCACTGCCGGTCGTTACGAATACCGCAATAAGGGTGTCGATATGTTCATTGAGTCGCTGGCCCGCCTCAATCATCGCCTGAAGACCGCTGGGTCAGCTATGACTGTGGTCGCTTTCATTATTATGCCAGCGCAGACCTCTTCATTGACAGTGGAAGCGCTCAAGGGACAGGCTGTTGTCAAGTCTCTGCGTGACACCATCGAGAACATCGAGAAGGGGATCGGCAAGCGCATGTATGAGCGTTGCCTTTCCTGGAAGGAAGGTGACAACATGCCCGATGACAAGGATCTCATCACCAGTCAAGATCGCGTTATGCTTCGCCGTCGTTTGTTCGGCATGAAGCGCCATGGTCTACCCCCGATTGTCACGCACAACATGCACAATGACAGCGAGGACCCCATCTTGAACCAGCTGCGTCGTGTGCAGCTGTTCAATCACTCGTCCGACCGGGTGAAGGTTGTCTTCCACCCCGAATTCCTCAACTCTGCCAACCCTGTATTGCCCCTTGACTATGATGACTTTGTTCGCGGAACCCATCTAGGTGTCTTCCCCTCTTACTATGAGCCATGGGGATATACTCCGGCCGAATGTACAGTGATGGGCGTGCCTAGCATCACCACCAACTTGTCTGGATTCGGTTGTTATATGGAGGAATTGATTGAGAACTCCTCCGATTACGGAATTTACATCGTGGACCGTCGCGCCAAGGGCGTTGACGACTCGGTCAACCAATTGACCGACTATATGTTCAACTTCACGGAGAAGAGTCGTCGCCAGCGCATTAACCAGCGTAACCGTACGGAGCGTCTGAGTGATCTGCTCGACTGGAAAAGAATGGGCTTGGAATATGTTAAGGCTCGCCAGCTGGCATTGAGAAGAGGTATGTTACAATTCCTGGCTTTGTTTGTGTGGTCATAACTAATTATTTGATACAGCTTACCCATCCTCCTTTGAGGGCCAGGAGGATTACTTCGATATCATTGGAGGAACTGAACAGAAGCTTTCCCGCCCGCTTTCTGTTCCTGGATCTCCTCGGGATCGCTCGGGAATGATGACTCCCGGTGACTTTGCTTCTCTGCAGGAAGGTCACGAGGGATTGAGCACCGAGGATTATATTGCCTGGAAGTTGCCGTAAGTTTCATTTTATCATTCTATTTTTTTTCAAATACTAATACATTCCATAGTGAAGAGGAAGAACCCGAAGAGCACTTCCCTCTTACACTGCGAACTCGCAAGACAGGCGAACGTGCTGCATCCCCACTGGACAGTGTAACAGTCAGTCGCCGAGCCAGTGAAGACTCTCGGGCAGAATGATTGGAATTCTTTTTGCATACCCCGTTGGAGTGGGCATATATGTGTACTTGTTTTTTAATGCTATATTTTCTCAATGCATTTGAAGCCTTTTAATTACAACATATGACATTTAAAGAAGATATGCTGTTAGATCCCTTACGGAGGGATGACCTCCGAGTCTACCCACACTGACGTTTAGAGTTCAAACGGTGAGCCATTTTGTGATGATTCAGCCATTAGGTACGAAGTATAAATACACAACCATTTCTACCCCTCCTACCCCTCTTCTTCCTTTTCACAACTTCAATACATACAACACACAACATACAACTTACGTCTACCTTCGGTACGACTCTCCTATGGAGCCGCGCACGTCCAGTACCCTGCGGGGTTGCAGGACTATGTCCTCGCTAGGATGAAGAGAAGGATCAAGGTATTTGTTCGTATAACAGTCGATGCCCACGCATGACAGGTGTTCGGTCCAGTCAGTTGATGGGGAGAAACTATAAACCTATCCAATCTAGGATTCAAGTGTTTCTTCTTCCCACAACTGGCTGGCTGATCTGAGATTATACTGTCAAAACTTGATCTAGACAATACTAGCGAAAGGACATGCGTGACTTTGATTGTTCCCCTGTTTGTGTTTTTGTGTCTGGCTCTGCTCATGCTATGCTATTGACTATTCAATTGAATACATAGATTGAATGGAGACTGTATGGACAGAGCAGAGCTGGATACTTTCTCTCTTGGCATACTGACCCAATGAAGTATTTCAATAGCTTGACCTTTCTGCCATCATGTCTACCGACAAGATTACTTTCCTGACAAACTGGTATGCTGACATTATCCCAGAACCCGGATTATCGAGCTCTCAATGCTCGATCTCTTGTAGTTCGACTTGGCTAAGTTATTTCTTTTTAAAGGCACGCCACCCCGTACCACGCCCCCCTCTACCTCGCTCAGGCCAGAGGTTACTTCAAGGATGAAGGTCTCAAGGTCGCCTTGCTCGAGCCTAACGACCCCTCCGACGTGACTGAGATCGTCGGAAGCGGCAAGGTCGACATGGGCTTCAAGGCCATGATCCACACCCTCGCAGTGCGTATATCTCTCCTAGATATATCAAGTATATCAATACTAATACCATATCCAGGCCAAGGCCCGCAACTTCCCCGTGACCTCCATCGGCTCCCTTCTCGACGAGCCCTTCACCGGAGTCGTCTACCTGAAATCCAGCGGAATCACCGAGGACTTCCGCTCGCTGAAAGGCAAGCGAATCGGCTATGTCGGCGAGTTCGGCAAGGTGTGCATTTCATCTCCCTGTCAATCCTATCCCGGCAATCCCTAACCAATCCTAGATCCAAATCGATGAACTCACCAAGTACTACGGCATGACCGCCGACGACTACACCGCCGTTCGCTGCGGAATGAACATTACCAAAGCAATCATCCAAGGCACCATCGATGCCGGCATCGGTCTCGAGAACGTGCAGATGGTCGAACTCGAAGAATGGCTAGCCGGTCAAAACCGACCTCGCACCGACGTGCAAATGCTCCGAATTGACCAGCTCGCCGAGCTCGGCTGTTGCTGCTTCTGCTCGATCCTGTACATCGCGAACGACGCCTTCATCGCCGCGAACCCAGAGAAGGTAGCTGCCTTCATGCGTGCCGTGAAACGCGCCACAGACGATGTACTTGCTGACCCGGCTGCCGCGTACGCCGAGTACATTGACGTCAAGCCCATTATGGGAACTGATGTTAACCGCAAGATCTTCGAACGGTCGTTCGCTTACTTCTCTCGCGACTTGAAGAATGTCAAGCGTGACTGGACCAAGGTTACCAACTACGGAAAGAGATTGGGTATCTTGGACGAGGCCTTCGTCCCCAACTATACCAATGAGTTCCTTTCTTGGGGCCTTGATGCGGATTCTACTGATCCCATTGGTGATCAGAAGCGTATGGCCGCTTTGCAACAGGAGGTTGCTGCTGAGGGTGGTTACAAGCGCCTTGAGGTTAAGGCTTCGGCTTAGGTTGGCATTTTACTGCTTGACTGCACTACTTGGTGAAGATTATTGCCCTAGGCTTCACTCTTTAGCCTCGGTCGTTTGAGATAAATTGAAAAAATCTGCCGTCTTGGTACAAAACTTATCTTGTAAATCATGTAATGAAATCAGCAGAACAGTAGCCAGTCAGTATACATTAAAAAGTCGTCAAAGCGACATTTCTAGTAAATTGGCTCATTGATAGAAAATCCATTGATAGGATGATGGATATTGTAAGAATTCGCTTCCAAGGTCATTAACATCAAAGTCATTATGCATCATGTCTCATAAGGCATCGTGTTTAGTCAAGGCACAGGTGAGGTTTCACCTTCATTCCCTGGACGATCAAGCATAGCTCGTAGCCGACCCTCCGCGGACTGCAAAGCAGGGCTAGATTCCGACCCAGCGATACTCGTAGTCCACTTCAGCCACCCAAGGAGGGACTGGATGATTTCCGGAGTCGAATACCCGAGGGACAAATCATCACCCAGAGTAGGTTGGCAGGGAATGGATTCAGCAGACCCATCATTTGCAGTCGCATCTAGATGAACCTCCGACACCACGGCGGACGTGACCATCTGGAATGACAACCGTTCCGCACTGCCAGGAGCATTCTTTGCAAGTAGATCATGACCGCTGTGTTTCGGTCTCGATACGAATTCGCGCGTGAAAGGAGTTGATATAGTCGGAATAGCCACACCTTCCTCAGCGTCTATGTCTGGCGATAGTGGAGGAAAAGGCAATATCTGAGTTGCTTGGTCGTCACCATTCTGTTCCAGAGACGCAGTCTGTCGAATATTTTCCAGATACCGATGAAACGAGAACGGATGCATATCACGAGCTGGATCAACAGGACTAGCCTCCTCATCAACAACCACATTACTATCATCCCGTCGTTCACCTATGACCTGCTCGACAGACGCTAACGCACTCGGCGCACAAATCTCGCCTAACGGCGCAATATGACTTCCATATTCATTGGAAAGACTCAGCTTACTCCGCCCGCAGATCTCAGCAATGGAGTCCAGAGTCCCACGGATATCAGGCTCGATAGCCTGCAGTATACTCTCAATACTGAAGTCCTTATCAGACGGCAATGCAACATCAGACTGCGATCGAGGAGCTCCGCTCCTACTGGAAAACGACAGAAACCGACGCGCAGACATAGAAGACGGTCGTGGAGTTCTCTGCTCATCGCCCGAATAAGCCCTGACAAGCACGGGACGTGTAGCGAGTGACGAGCGCCGCGGAGGGTTATCAACTCGGGGACGGGACTGCGGTCTTGGGGAACCGTTTAGCTGGCGTAGAGCCGTGGCGCGATATGCGGTAGCCGGGTCTTCGGACTCGTATCGCTGTTGGCTGGGTGCGACGTGGGATGTGGATCGGGGCCATCCTCGTGGGAGGGACGATGATGGCCGTGGACTGGTCAACGTATCCGATTCCATTGTACTGGTTGTGGTAGTGTGCAGCTTTGGTGGTATGCAGGAGACAGCGCAGAGAATGACCCCGCTCTGGAGGGCACAGGGCTCTGACACTAGGTTCGGCTCACGAGGGATGTATCCACGTATGCGTAATGCATATTCTCTGGCATGTGTTGGGTGTTTTGGCTGTAAATCATTCGAATTGGTAGTGGAGAGATGGGGGATGTGCTGTTGCGCGGGCACTGAAGGTGTCAATAATGTCCGTGGTCTTGGTACGTTGCACTATTGCAATTATGAGCAGTTAGTTATGGCATAATATGCCCTCCAGACCTTGTAGGAAGGCGGAATCAAAAGCAAGAAAAAAAAAAAAAAAGGAATGGTTCTGCGAGTACACCTTAACGATGCGTCAAGCAAAAGGCCATCCTGAATCTCCCAACCTTGGAAGCTTGGCGTTCTTATTTAGCACCGAGGCACCACCTTTCCCCGTTCCATTATCCACCACGTTGCACCATGAATCGCTTCGAAGTATGAGTCCATGCCAGTCGCATTGGTACCTGATCTAACCACCTATAGTTCGGCGACTCCGACGGGTCTTCCTCCGACTTCGATGAAGACCCATCCGGTCTCCCCTTCCCAGAACCGCTATCCCGCACCTCATTCCTCGCCCCTGACTTCGATCCAGCCACCTTCCTATCGTCATTGACGAACCGACACCAGAGCCTTGAGGACCTCCGACAGGAATTGCGAGGACTAGAGCAATTCCTGAACAAGGAGCTGTTGGATCTTGTCAATGAGAACTACCAGGACTTTCTCTCGTTAGGCAGCGCACTCCGCGGGGGCGAGGAGAAAGTCGAAGGTGTGAAAGTTGGTGTTCTTTCATTCCAGCGCGATGTCAAAGCTATCCGGGACAAGGTCGAGGCGCGACGACAGGAAGTGGAGGAGCTGTTGAACGAGAAGCGACGACTACGTGCGAACGCGGACGTTGGCAAAGATCTGTTGGACTATGCGGATCGGGTGGAGGAATTGGAACACCATTTGATGATTCACGACAAGTCATCTGAAAATCCTTCGGACGAATCCGATTCCGAGTCTGATCTATACAGCAGCGAGAGTGGTGATATGGATGATGATGAGCTGGCGGATGGCACACCTGCGATTTCGTTGAAGAGGATGGAATGTCATGTGCAGAAGTTCATCTTTTTGGGCTCGATAGCTGACCGGGTCGGCGAGAAGCATCCCTTCCTCCTTGCGCAGCAACCACGAGTCGCAAAGATTAAGTCCACGGTACTCCTGGATCTTAAAACTGCCTTGGGACAGGCCACCGCGGCAGGTGGTAAACACGGCAAACGTGACGCTAGGACAATGGCAATTCTGCGCCTCTACGAGCTTATGGGCGAGGATGTCAGTGCTGTCGCCGCGCTGAAGAACCTAAAGCTGTAAAAAACATGCTTCGTCCTGAAAATTGGCAATGTGCACTGGTTTGCATACATAGCGTCGGCGTTCGGTTTTATAAAGTTCTAATTCAACAATGATACCATGATACACCATGTCCTTTCCTAATAAAACAATAAATTTGTACACGCCAAAGGATATAAGAAAATTGAGTATGTTACATGCCAGTCAAGGCGGAGGTTGGGGGGGAGTTGTCGGAGCGGAACTCGCCGTTGAGTGAGAAGCCGGGTCCGTTCGTCGAGCTCAGTACCTAATTTTGTTGTCAGAGGTCAATTTCCTCAAAAAGAACCAACCAAAGTACTCACCACCTCGTAAACCTCCTTGTTAACACGGTCGGTCAACGCGGAAGCATCCTTCTTAATTTGATCAAGGGTCACGCGCATGTTGTCGCGCAATTGCTCCGGAGAGAAGGCCAACTGCCCGACAGGTAGACGGATAACGGCATCACGCTCACGGTACACAGTACCACCACGGAGCATTTCCACACGCGAAGCCACGTCTTCCACAACGGTACCAGTCTTCGCACTGGGCATCAAACCGCGAGGACCGAGGATACGACCTAGCGCGGCCTTGTTCAGGGCCGGCAAACTGTCCGGGTGGGCGAGACAGCGATCGAACTCAATAGTGCCTGCCTTGACAGCGTCAAACACTTCTTGTTCACCGACAAGAACGGCACCTGCAGCAAGCGCTTCCTTGGCTGCTCTCGAACCGGGAGGACAGATGACACAGATGCGGGATTCGGTCTGGACGGCGTGGGGGAATCGGAGCATGTTACGGATAACAGGGCCGTCGCGCTTTGTCCGCAGTCGGATGTGCAGCTCGTATTTTTGAACAGTGGGTTCGCGACCGACTTCGATGGCCCGGATATATCTGTAGAAAGGGTGTCAATTGATGATCCGGCCATTGACTGATGCCGCCGTTGTCAGATGCTCAGTACATACCGCATAGCATCACACAGAGAATACTGCGGCATATCCTTCAAATTGATTTGCCGGTACTCCTGGGGTCCTTTGCGGCTCTTGGTAGGCTGGTCTTTCCCCTTCTTTGGTTTGTTCTTCAGACCTCGGACCTGCTGGAAAGTCGAGAGAACGGAGGCAATTGAGGTATCTCGCAGCGGACTCCGACATGCTGAGAGGATTCCTCGTGCCGCTGTGGGCAATACCGAGCCGTAGGACGACATATTGGCAGTCGTTGATTTGAGCTGATCGACTAGATGAAGCCATGGAGCAATTGTTTTCTGCCGGAAAGCTGTTGGCCTCGGAGAAACGTAGGTCCGACCGGGGACTAGAGATAATGACTCTGCCCCTCCAGAAACTCACTTTGCTTTCCACACCACGCAATGTCTGCACACGAATTGAAAGTTGCCACTCGCGGCAACCACGCGGCTCTTTTGCCCGTGGTCCTCATCGTCACCTCTATCAATGAGGCCCGCCCTACCCCCGTGGTCACCATCACCTACGAGGACACTGCTCTTCTCCAGGATGGCGACAAGGCCATTGTGCAGCTCATCAGTGGCTCCGACTCCGTCTTTGGTCCTGCCAATGTTATCCAGGAACTTATGAAGCACTTCCCATTCCTGGCTGGCAAGGATTCCAAGGTGGTGAGTTACTACTACTTCTACCCCGCGATCGAGTCATTCGTTTCAAACCGAAATGTCCCTAACACATTTCCTCAAACTAGGAAGCCGAGTGGATCTCTCAGTTGGATTCCCTTACCCCCCTTGATTTCAAGGCCCTCGACCCCGTGCTCCAGCGTATTGACACCCACTTGTTGATGCGCTCGTTCATTGTCGGATACTCCCTGTCTACCCCCGACATTGCCATTTGGGGTGCTATCCGGGGCAACCGCGTCGCCGTTGCTGCCGTGAAGAAGGGATCCTTGGTTAACCTTACCCGCTGGTATCGGTTCTTGGAGGAGCTCTGCCCATGGACCGCCGCCGCTGTGGAGTCTATGAACGCAGTTGCTAAGGAGAAGAAGGTGGCCAAGTCCAAGGAGGGTGCTAGTTACGACATTGCCCTCAAGAACACCGAGAACGGTGTTGTCACCCGATTCCCTCCTGAGCCTTCTGGATACCTCCACATTGGTCACGCCAAGGCCGCCCTTCTCAACGACTACTTTGCGCACGAGAAGTACAACGGTACTATGCTCCTTCGATTCGATGATACCAACCCTTCGAATGAAAAGCAAGAGTTCGAGGATGCCATCGTGGAGGACCTTGCCCTCATGGGCATCAAGCCTAACAAGATGACCTACACCAGTGACTACTTCGACCAGCTGTACGACTACTGCATCCAGATCATCAAGCAGGGCGACGCCTACGCCGATGATACCGATAAGGAAACAATGGCCGCCCAGAGATGGGATGGCTTGCCCAGCAAGCGTCGCGATCTCTCCCCCGAGGAGAGCTTGGCGCACCTGGAGGAGATGAAGAAGGGCACCCCCGAGGGTCTCCGTTGGTGCATCCGTGCTAAGATCTCCTTCGACTGCCCCAACAAGGCCATGCGTGATCCAGTCATCTACCGCTGCAACCCAGCAACCCACCACCGCACCGGCGACAAGTGGAAGATCTACCCGACCTACGATTTTGCCTGCCCTATTGTTGATTCCATGGAGGGTGTCACCCACGCTCTGCGTACCATTGAGTACCGCGACCGTAACCCCCAGTACCAGTGGATGCTAGATACTATGAAGCTGCGCAACGTGCAGGTGTGGGATTTCGCCCGCATGAACTTCGTTCGCACTCTCCTCTCTAAGCGCAAGCTGACCAAGCTGGTCGAGACTGGTCTCGTCTGGGGCTGGGATGATCCCCGCTTCCCCACCATCCGCGGTATCCGTCGCCGCGGTATGACCATTCCTGCTCTCCGTGAGTTCATCCTCAAGCAGGGCCCCTCTAAGGCTGTTACCAACTTCGACTGGGGTCTTATCTGGGCTACCAACAAGAAGTACATTGACCCCATTGCCCCCCGTCACACTACCATCTTCAACAAGAACGTTGTCAAGACCACCGTCACCGGCGGTCCGGCCACTCCTTACTCCGAGGAGAAGCCTAGACACATCAAGAACGCCGCTGTCGGTATGAAGAAGGTTGTCTACAGTAGCTCTATCATCCTCGAGCAGGAGGATGTCAAGCTCTTCAAGCCTGACGAGGAGATCACCCTTATGAACTGGGGCAATGCCATCGTCCGCAAGGTCAGCACCAACGCTGAGACCGGTATCATCACCAACCTTGAGCTCGAGCTGCACATGGCCGGCGATGTCAAGAAGACCGAGAAGAAGGTCACTTGGCTCGCGACAGAGGGACAGGACCTCGTCCCCGTCGAACTGGTCGATTTCGATCACCTTCTGACCAAGGATTCCCTTGGTGAGGATGATGTTCTCGAGGACTGCCTCAACATGCACACCGAGTTCCGTGAGGAGGGTCTGGCTGACTGCAACGTTGCTGATCTCAAGGAGAGTGATATCATTCAGTTCGATCGCAAGGGATACTACCGTGTTGATCGTGCTTACTCTCCTGGTAAGCCTGCGGTCTTCTTCAACATTCCTTCCGGCAAGTCTAAATAGATACTGGTCAATTATGATGTGAGGCATGTTTTATGAGTACAGTGAGATATGAAAGAAGAATGAAAAGTTGTTTATATGCTTCTACTTTGCGTCTAGTAAAATGACAATCATGGCATTATCTACTAGTACCATGACGTGGACCACCATCGTTACTCTGGGAAGCTTTGTTGCTGCTGTGCTGGCTCATGTAGGGCTAAACAGGGTCACGTGTGGCCGAAGCCAACTGCGACGATCCCCCTAGGTAAGTTGTTCATTACCATGCGTCTAATACTTTCCATTTCCCAGACTATCTCTGGTTCAACAAACATTTAATCCATCCCGACAATTTGTGAAACTGGCGTCGAATGGATGTTAATTCCGCCGCCCGGCTGTCAGCGGAATGGACGCGCATGACGTCGAAGACCTCCATTCAATTGACATCCGGACAGCCGATCTCCACACGCAGAAAGGGGCCTAGCTGATTCGTTCATGTATCAGTGGCTCTCACTCTCGCTTCGGGTTCCTGGATTTCGGCGGGCATCATGGTATTATAACTGAACAAGCCTTCGGATATTGAACGCCCAATAATGGGATACACTGGTTGATGACGGTCTTCGCGTGGTTTATCTATAATACTTTGCAAAGCAAGATTGTACGGCAATATGACACACGGCCAGACGCCCTTTCCCAGTCGTGAGGTTTGCTCTGGCTCCTGCCAAGGGAACATCTATCGTATCCATGGGTGAACGTCCTATTGGCTCGTCAATTCGGGTACCTGCCTGGACCATGAGCTTCTTACGACCTTAGCGTCGACCGAAGTGTTATTGCTCTCGTCGAGATTGGTTGAACCAATGTTGTATGCATCAGAACCAGAGGGAGTTCTTCGGGTGGTCCGCGGCTCGTCCCTCTCGAGACCTGGTTCCTCAGCTTCATCTTCCTCCAAGTACCGAGTATGAAGACCAAAACACTAAGCATACATGTTAAATGTCTCTCCCGGGAGCTTCCTAGCTCGACGTCAGCATGGTTTACTTTAGAAGGGAAATTTTCGTTACGCTAGCAGCTTCTTTCTTCTCTGCTCCAGATAAAACCGCAATCATCTTCGATTCTTCGCCTACAGGTTCCGAGGCACAAATACAACATTGGAAATACTTATTTCCTTTGGTGTCATTGGTTCTTCGTTTCTATATCCCTTCGATTCCTGCATTCGTTTTATTATCATCAATAATTAATAATATTGTCCCTTTGACAGGTATGTGTGTCTTTCTGTTCCATCATTGTCAAAGAGCTTTTATCTGACTTCGACAGCCAAACATGACCGGCGAGCCAAAAGCCGAGCGTGCCGACGCTCGGCGCCGCAGCTCACGTATCTCGCGAGCATCCCTGAGCGGGGACTGGAACAGTCTGGACGAGTATGGCAAACTCGTCAAGTATGTGTCAACATTCCGCGATCCTAATGCAATGGATGAAGATCGGGGCGAACTCACCGAGAAACGAGTCTGGTACGCCCCATGGATGAAGCGAAAGGTCCGCGTCAAAAGCGTTGAGGCAGAGACCGGCAAATTCCCCGATGAGTGGACTATGACGGATGTCCGAGAGGGACTTTCTAGCGATGAAGTTCCACTCCGTCGTCGTCGCTCTGGGTGGAATGAGTTGGTATCCGAGAAGGAGAATCCCATTGCTAAGATCCTTTCTTACTTCCAGGGCCCAATTCTCTACGGTAAGCACATATAACCCCCATTCCTGATTATCGCGCTAACGCGAGCATAGTAATGGAGTTGGCTGTTTTGCTTGCTGCTGGTCTAGAGGACTGGGTTGACTTCGGCGTCATCATTGGTATCCTGTGTCTGAACGCGGCAGTGGGCTGGTATCAAGAGAAACAAGCTGCCGATGTCGTTGCGAGTCTCAAGGGTGATATTGCTCTGCGGGCGCAGGTTATTCGTGACAGTACTCAGCAAGAATGTCTTGCTAGAGAGTTGGTTCCAGGCGATGTAGTAAGTCGCTTTTTTGTAGGGCCCAATATTTGTATCAGACTCTGACGGATTATCTAGGTCATTGTGGGTGAAGGCCAAGTCGTGCCTGCCGACTGCAGGGTTATCTGTGACGTCAAGGATGAGCATGGCTGGGAAGAGTTCAACCAACTTCAAGAGCAGGGTATGCTCGGTGGAGGGTCCTCTTCTGAAGAAGAGGATGATCCGACCAAGAAGACCGATAAAGAAAAGGCCGAAGACGATGGCAAAGCTAAGGAGGCCGACGAACATCAGGCAAAGAAGGCTCGCAGACGTGGTTATCCTATTCTGGCTTGTGACCACTCTGCCATCACGGGCGAGTCGCTAGCCGTGGATCGTTATATGGGAGATATGATCTTCTATACGACTGGGTGCAAGCGCGGCAAGGCCTATGCAGTCGTTCAAACGGGTGCGAGGACTTCTTTCGTTGGTCGTACTGCTACTATGGTCCAAGCTGCTAAAGGGGCTGGTCACTTCGAACTTGTCATGGACAATATCGGAACCTCTCTCTTGATTCTTGTTATGGCCTGGATCCTCGCAGCGTGGATTGGTGGATTCTTCCGTCATATTCCTATTGCTTCGCCCACTCAACAGACTCTGCTTCACTATACCCTGTCTTTGTTGATCATTGGCGTACCCGTCGGTCTCCCCGTTGTCACTACTACTACCATGGCTGTTGGTGCCGCCTATCTGGCGAAAAAGAAAGCCATTGTGCAAAAGCTGACCGCCATTGAATCTCTAGCCGTGAGTCTGCGCCCACTTGGACTGTGCCATCAAAGACTAACAATAAAGTAGGGTGTTGACATTCTATGTTCCGATAAGACCGGTACTCTAACGGCAAACAAACTGAGTATTCGTGATCCGTATGTAGCTGAAGGTGTCGACGTTGACTGGATGTTCGCCGTCGCTGCTCTTGCATCCTCGCATAATATCGAATCTCTCGATCCGATTGACAAGGTCACAATCTTGACGCTTAGACAGTACCCAAGAGCACGAGAGATTTTACGACGGGGTTGGTCAACTGAAAAATTCACCCCCTTTGACCCTGTTTCAAAACGCATTGTCACCATCGCCACCTGTGACGGCATTCGGTATACCTGTACTAAAGGCGCTCCGAAAGCCGTCCTTCAATTAACAAGCTGTTCTAAGGAGACCGCCGACCTATATAAGGCCAAAGCCCAAGAATTTGCGCATCGAGGCTTCCGCTCTCTCGGCGTTGCTGTTCAAAAAGAAGGCGAAGATTGGGCCTTGCTTGGAATGCTGCCTATGTTTGATCCACCCCGAGAAGACACCGCTCAAACCATTAGCGAAGCGCAGAACCTCGGTATCAGCGTCAAGATGCTCACCGGTGATGCCATTGCCATTGCGAAAGAAACCTGCAAGATGTTGGCTTTAGGCACCAAGGTGTATAACTCAGACAAGCTCATTCATGGCGGTTTAAGCGGTGCAATGGCTAGTGATCTTGTTGAAAAGGCCGACGGCTTTGCCGAGGTGTTCCCAGAACACAAATACCAAGTCGTGCAAATGCTACAAGAACGAGGCCACTTGACTGCTATGACCGGTGATGGTGTAAATGACGCACCATCTCTGAAAAAGGCCGATTGTGGTATTGCCGTTGAAGGCGCCTCAGAAGCTGCTCAGTCTGCATCGGACATCGTTTTCCTTGAGCCCGGGCTGTCGACCATCATTGACTCTATTAAGGTCGCACGTCAAATCTTCCATCGCATGAAGTCATATATCCAGTACCGCATTGCACTCTGCTTGCACCTTGAGATCTACCTCGTGACTTCGATGATCATCCTCAATGAAAGCATCCGTGTCGAGCTTATCGTCTTCCTGGCATTGTTCGCCGATCTCGCGACCGTTGCAGTGGCGTATGACAATGCATCTTTCGAGTTGCGACCTGTCGAATGGCAACTCCCCAAAATTTGGTTCATTTCCTGCCTTCTTGGTATACTACTAGCCCTGGGTACGTGGGTTATCCGAGGCACTATGTTCCTGAAATCCGGGGGTGTTATCCAGAATTGGGGATCGATCCAAGAGGTTCTGTTTTTGGAAGTGGCGCTCACGGAGAATTGGCTAATTTTTGTCACTCGCGGCATCGACACATGGCCCTCTATTCACCTAGTGACTGCCATCCTCGGCGTTGATATTTTGGCTACTATCTTCTGTCTGTTTGGTTGGTTTACCAACGAGAACATGAAGACCAAGCCTGCAGACAAATTTGTGGAGACTAAGAATGGCTGGACTGATATCGTCACCGTTGTGCGAATCTGGGGTTATTCGCTTGGTGTGTCGATTGTCATCGCTCTAGTATACTTCATCTTGAACAAGATCAAGTGGTTTGATAACCTAGGTCGCGTCCAGCGCGACAAGGGGGAGGTCAAGATTGAGAATTTCCTTGCTCACTTGTCTCGTCTTACAGTGGAGTACGAGGAAGGCGGCGCGCCGAAGGGCCGGTTCTGCTTGGCTACAAGCAAGGAAGAGGAGGAGGCCGAGTAAAATGGTGGGATGTGAAATGGAAAGTGTGATGTGCGCAGTAAACTAACATTAGATCTCGAAGTTTGTGCTTCTGTCCTGTTCTTGGCCTAATTAAGTCTTGTTGATGGTGATGAGCGTTACTATGCGTGTTCTCGGGGAGCAACTAGCAAGAGCACGAGGGTATCTATGTTAATCTCTAATTTGTTGGATCTGCTTGCAATTATTCTAATAGCGCTCAATACCTCTAGTTTATGTGTTTCGAATCGAATCATTTATAATGGATGAAAGCCATCGGATACCATTAGAATTAGCTACACTCCTCGACCCAACCGCGTATCCTGATGAATTGAATTACAAAAGGATACTACTTGGAAAAGGCACGAAGCAATGTAAATGTTTTGATATTCCAAGATTCGAAAAGAGCGAATTAAAAAAAGGGTATCATATACAGGAAAAGACAGAATATTAGTTGGGGAAAGAAATCGAATCAAAGAAAAATGAAAGAAGGTTCAAAATAGACAATGAAAGTGTTCCATGTCTGGAACGAGGCCAAGTCCATCGTAATGGCTCTTTATATGCACCCAACAGTCCAATCATGTGCGTCAATGGTAGTCGAAACATACAAACTCCCAAATAGAATGAGACTCTTCAACGATGTCGGGTGTGGCCGAGAGCCTCACATGTCCAGGTACGGCACGCTCAGATACGATTGCGCCGAGCATGCCGGAGGCCGATCAGAGAATGGGCGACGTTGCCAGCAACTATGTTCGCCTTACGGATACCACCAAGCAAACCAAGCAGGTCGTTGCCGATGATTGTGCTAAGATGGTTTTTATTCGGGTCGTCCTCACTCGAGGTGGGAGCCGCAGTTGCCTCAGGTGTAGCTGTAGCGACGTGCCCGTTCTCGACGGTGATGGTGGTGATAAAGGCAGTACCAATGGTGGTCGGACCGGCGGGGTTGTGTTCCTTGATATCTTCATCCTCCTTGGGCGAAGCAGAAACAGATGAGAAGGAGGAAGATGAGTGTGAGGAAACGGGTGCATTGGAAGATAATGAAGTCTTCGTTGAGTCAGTGGACGTAGAAGTAGGTGCCGAGGTTGACACCGGATCGGGCGACGACGAACCGGAATCATTCGCAGGGCCCAGGCTGTTCCGCACGTCCTTGATAAACCCATTGTTGCCGTATGCCTGCGTGGCATCCCACATCATAACACCCCCGAGACTCTCAAACTTCTTCGTGTATTCAATCACCTTCGCCAACTCGGACGCCGGGATATATCCCGTGCTAGCTGCTGTCGTGAATGCTGGCACGCCGATCATGACCTTTACATTTTTGTTGACAGACACCGTTTTAGCCCAGTTGTCCCACTCTTCGAAGTTGTATTTGCTGCTTGAGATGTCCTTGTTGAAACTGTTGACACCGCAATAGTTGTTGTAAAATTGTACCCAGATCGCGTCAATGTATACAGGGCCGTTGAGGATATCTTTATCTGCCTGGTCGGGGTAAGGGCATTGTGGTGCTGCTGTCAAATAGAACGTCTGCTTGCTCTTGTCTGCCTTCATCAGTGCTCGCAGCTCGTTGGCGAAGATGGCCATGTTTTGGACATTGGCCTCAAAATCGAAGTCGAAGCCGTCTAAGGCGGCGTCACCGAAAGGACGAAGCGCTTTAGAACCCTCCTGCTTGGGCCCAAAGGTTTCCCACATTAATTTCGCACCGCTCTTGGCTTCTTGTTCAGACTTGAAGCCGCCCTCGCTGTAGGTCGCTCCACCAATTGAAAGAAGAATCGTCTTTCCCTTTGATTGGCATGTCTTGATATCCTTGCTGGGTATTGTCAGCCATCTACCTGGTCCCTAGCATATGGATTAAGAATTCTTACCCAATTGCAGGGCAGTTTTTCAACTGGGTGCCTGGGAAGACCTCGCAGTCTTTGCTGGTAACAGCGAAATCAATCTCTGGAGCGCCTCCTGGGCCATTTACCATCATATTGAACGCCATTGGTATCACCTACGCCACTTTGTTAGCCCATCATTTTGAAAGCTTTGTCGATCTGCTTCCTACATCAATGTCCTTATCTAAAGTCTCTTGTTAGTTCCAACGACAATATTGACAGTGTATAGTTCACTCACTGTCGCAGTAGTATGCAAGCGGCTGCTGTGCCTGATCTCCCTTTCCATTAAACGAATTCTGACCTTCATAGTATCTCATGTAAGTATTTATTAGCCCAAGCAATGCGCGAACACATACCCCAGTAAACAACAATGTTGCTAGTCGAGTTCAAGTCCAGCTTGGCCTCTACTCCTGCAAGCGAGGCCAGCCAAATAGACCAAGCAATAAGACCCTGATAGCGACCCATGGTGAAAAGCGCAGTATAGTATCTGCGCGGAGTATATAATCAGGTATAAAGAAATGAACTGATGGGGTTAGACGAGGGATAGGGACATCCACGGATAAATGACAATGACAAGTTAGAGCAATGGGGCTCATCATGAGCATTGCCATCATTAAATAGCATACCCTGAACTTTTTTCCTTGTTATTTTCCAAAACAATGTCCGGGTTCCCCATTCAGGTGGTTCTAGGCGCATGGTATGATCCACATGTCCACGCCATCAATCTCACAAGAGTTTAGTAGTCATTCCTTGATACCAAATAGATATAGTGTGTAGCTAATATTGCCGGGTAACTATTTTGATTGGGTTGTGGTGTAGTTCCGGCTCCCTAGTCTGCATTCCCGAATTTCCCGTGTTATTGTCAGGGGACTAGGGGTAGGTCCGAGAATGCACCGAAGAATGAACATGTGTGCTATACAATCAATTTCAAGGACATTAAAATTTGAGTATATTGTTATAGAATCTGTAGCCTATGTCAGGCTGTTACGGTCAGGAGCCATATCCCTTGTCATCGGGGCGGTGGCAGCATATCATTCAGTTGAACTATACTCTGTCGGACCATATAAGATGCGACGTTTACAACGGTATGACATCTTTGGCTTTGAATTTCGGTAGAAAATCAAAGTTTCTTTTCAAACATACGAAAGTCAAGAACTATTCAAACTCATTTTGAATGGCAAGTGATATTTACCGAGTATATAGAACATCGAATGACAGATAATTCTAAAGATATATATCTGAGCAATCCAATGTTAGAACCCGTTGATTAGTGCATGGAGACTTCATTGTTCAGCATGTCCAATATTATTCAACTGCCTATTTTGTGACAAGTTTTTTTTCCCATGCAGAATGCAAGTCACTATATATTTCCCGATCTGTACATGGGGTGCGGAATTACCTAATTGGGTTAGCGTCAAATGATACGTGAGGGCATTCCCAATTTATCCAGCAAGAACAATATAAACACCTGTAAATTTGAGAAAAGAAAAACAAAAACTAGTAAGCGTAAGAGTGAAAGTCTCATCTGTCGCTCAGGGATGAAAATTTGCTTTCAAGAGCGTACAGGCGCTTATAAGGAATGCCAAGTGACTCAACACAGGGTTGCTCACCAAGTCCCTAGATGGTGCCTATTAGCTCTTCAATTGAATTCCTCTTTGAAGATATTGTAGCGTATTCATGACGTTCCTTAGTAAAAGCCGCCCTTGTTGGTCCCTCCCAACTAGGTAGGGAAGCTGGTCGCAAAGGATCTGTTTCGCTGTCATTTGAAAGCGACAAAGCACATTTGGGATGACAGCTCTGAAGTTTGCTACACTGTTTGCTAGTCCAGACTAAAATATTTGTTTGCTATCTGCCCGTGACTTTGCTGTTTTACATGGGTATAAATATCCTGTCTCATCCAGATCATCCTTCTTCATTATATATATCAACGTATACCTTTGCTTTTGCCCATGCTAGTCGTTTCATGATGGCATTAGATTTTCGGCATCCATCGGCGCAGTGACAGCTATTCCATGCCCAGGAAACAGTTGAAGGGAAGTCTCATGTCCGAACTAGGATCTCCAACCTATAGAATATCTCAAACGTCCGGACACTCTGGCGGGCTTTAACTTTCATACGTTCCTTACTATATAATGGTGGGACACATATAAGACTCGAGGATCCTGAGGGGTGAAAGAGCGGGAGTTGATGTACTATCTCATATATCACTCCATCGACCAGCCTGAGGACTTCGCGCCGTGTCAAGTTGATGCTACACCATCCGTTCCGGGCATTCGATGATCTGCTTGGCTGCGACAGAATCCACTTCGCCTCCTTTGTTACTGCATATCAGCACTGCTCGCTCCTACACACCTATCCCATGATGTCTACGGGGAGGACCTGGGTGATGGCCTCAAGGACCTGTTTGAGGAGCCGGAGGAAATCATAGTACGAGGGTGTCCATTGTGTGTCGTCCCTTGGTGGGTTTCATCCGCTTGGGATGTTATGGCATTTCCCAACTACCTGTGAAAAAGCATGTGAGCGGCTTTTATAATTCTGTGACGCATCGACCTGTCCGCTATGTGACAGGAATTGGCTGGGCAGTGCTTCTCTTCAACAAATAAACAGCCAAATCTCTTGTGAGATATTTTCAGGCGTAATTGACACATGAGTTCAATTCTACCAATACACTTCGCTTCGGATTCAACTTATATTCTTAGTAGAGTAATGGACATATAGTTGAAGTTGGATGTAATGAATATCACAGGGAGCATTACCTCTTCTGAGGCCTAGAGTCTACAATATACAGAGTCGCAGTCACAGTTATCATCACTTCTAGGTGAAAATCGTAGTGTGTCTAGTTGACTGGATAGCGACCCGTGGATTGTTGTCTATATATGCATCGGTCGTGCTTGCCGTTGATGGAATATCTCGCACTTTCCACTTTTGTCTTTCTGCCTAAAATAGGTTAGCGGCTTTTTCTGTGAGTTGCTTGTCTTTCACTTTCTTCTCTTAATCTCTTTCCCCCCATCTTCCTCTCTCATATCTACCTCCCATTAATCCTTTTCCTTTCTACCTTTTGGTGTCCATCTTGGACAAGATGGACATCAATGTTAGGGGTACCTAGAGGAAGGATCTCCAAAATGACCCAGAATCATGAGTCGAGATCAACAATGCCATGGTCGAAGCCTTCGTGCCAAAGTGGAGGACGTGTTGGTGGCGCGTCACAAGGCACCCGCTTATCACACGTAAAACCCCCTTCTCATATTCAGGCCAAAAGCAAGCCAGATACTGACCCAGTAATAAAGAATATCTATGGAGTGAGGGAGTGCTTAGCACTACCTCATCGGCTGAACCAAACCGCTGCCAGCGGGATTCCACAGTATATGGGATGACACCCGACGAGAGGTCTTCAACTTTCAGGAAAGCGATCACAGGCCTAATGTTAGTTTTGTTGTACCCTACCTGATTGCCTTCTTCTAATGTTTAAACAGGGTCGGTTCACACTGTTAGCGACATAGCCCGAAGATAACCACTGGTTTCATCGCAGGGAATACATTTCCCTAAACCAATGACCTACAAGTGATACTCCGGTTTCTAGCGATGTTAAGAGTTTGGATGACTTTCCACACTCCCTGCATAATTGTGGGCATAATGTATGGCCGAACCACGATCTTCATTGGGCTACCAACACCTTTGAAATGTTCGGTTCGAATGCCAACGGCACTGGCATGACAAACCGCGGTCTGCGTCTATCTCAACTCATCTGAAGCGCATGCATTTGACTGTTGGTGCCTCCGGCATACATTCCAGCCTATCCCTGAAATTTGTGCTTTTGCGATGTGATCATTCATGACTCAGTCAGCCGGGCGATAGATCAAAATCAAAATCAGATGAGCCATCAAGAAACATGTAAATCACCGGAACGTTGTGAAGGGAAAAGTAACTTGAACTTCCTTCTCTCAACAACATCCACGGCAGCAATACCATCAATAAAATGATCAGCTGTCGCCAATCATCATCGCGATGTTTTCATTTTGCTTGGTGTCTTTCATATCCATCAAACCAATAGAAAATCAACTACATTGAATGGGGTAACTCTCCCCGTCACTATTGTCACTCTGCTATTTCTGCAGATAGCGCTCTAGACTTACCTTAAGAGAACCATGGCAATCTCAAACACTATCGCTAGCGCGAACGGCCGGCCCTAGGTAGCCCTTCAAGCCTTCTAGCGTAGTCTGCGCTACCTTTTCCCTTACCCTAGCCCGATTTCTCGCTTAGATCTCACTATCACGCTTGAGTTAAGGCATTTTTGCCTTTAGTTCGTCACGCTAACCTACAATTCCGGCCCTTAATATATCTTGTTAGTTACTCTGTTATAGAACTTTTACGTACCTAAGCGTATTTACATACACTCGTTCTAGATAATCGCCTATATACAGCAGGGAAGGAGAGTTTAAATGCGATTTGTCGTCTGGTAATAGGCGAAGGCTATCGACAGGACAGGGATATCGTTGTGATTCAAGGAAAGCTCAATTGTTCTGAGTTCCGAGGAAATACGTCCGTACAAGAGGCTACATATACATCATGAAATCCAAGTTGATTTTTAACCAGGTTTCTCCGTATAAATGGTGCTGGAATTATTTCCAAAGTTGCAGATTCGTGCCTAATCAGCCGTTGGTCATATCACATCAATCTCGATGGCTTTTGTCCCTGGATCAACTATCAAAAACCGGAGACAAATATTGCGTGAGCAGGGTCAAATGAGGCAGGCCCGCCTCGCCCTTTGATCGTGGAGGTTGCAGGCAAGGTGAACTATCTTTTGAAGTGAATGATTGATGTGTGTTTAACCATAATTCCCAGGATAATCCCACGGCCCCACTCTGTCACTTGAACCATGGAACGCCAGCGGTTGGATGCCGAGCGAGGCAGTGCAAAAGATCCAAAAACTAATCTGATAAATGATATCATAGTGAATAGCAAGACCTGTTCGATCAGACGGGGGCAACTATTGGCTTTCTAGGCACATCCAATAACGCTGCTATGATGGATTTGGTTATTGGGTGGTTTCTGAAGCCCAGGTCATGCGGGATGTGACACAGCCACGATCCTGATTACCGAAACTTGATGAAGTAGGCAAGACAGAAGTTGTACTATGATCAAATAAATAGGTCAATTCTTTGCTTTATCAAAGGCAAGCGGATAAACTCTATGGGCGACTACCTGCATAAACCCTGTACATCTACATCGACACAGCGTCAATGTCAGCTAAAGACGAAGACGAGTTCTGGTCTGATGCTCTCACTCCAGAACCCCGATTTGAAACAGACTTTCGCGTTCCCGATAACAAGTTTGCCTTCTCCCCAGGCCAGCTAAACAAACTGTTCAACCCGAAGTCCCTTGCCGCTTTTTACGCGCTAGGTGGGCTGCATGGTCTAGAATATGGACTCCAAACAGATCTCACCGCTGGGTTATCGGCAGATGAAAAGATCCTAGCTCGGTATACAACCTTAAAAGAAGCGAGACAGGTCGCGTCCACTCAGACGAATGGGACACTGTCACCCTCACCACAATATTCAATTCCACCAGCTGAGAGCGCTCAGAGTGCATCTCTATTTGCAGAACGATCCCGGGTCTTCGGTACGAATGTGCTCCCTCAAGCCCCAAAGAAGACGTTTCTTAAACTTCTTTGGGACGCGTACAACGACAAGCTCATTATCCTGCTTACCATTGCTGCGATTGTGTCGCTTTCCCTGGGTATATATGAAGCCGTGTCCGGCCAGTCGCAGGTGGACTGGATCGAGGGCGTGGCAGTCTGCGTTGCTATACTTATTGTGGTTGCTGTAACAGCGGGGAATGATTGGCAGAAACAGAGGCAGTTTGGGAACCTGAATAAGCGCGTGCGTATCCCACCATACCCAAGATCGCGACGTAAATCGAGTAACATTGTCTCTTAGAAACATGACCGCGAGATTAAAGCTATCCGCTCCGGGAAGAAGATGCGGATGCGCATCAGTGATCTCACTGTTGGTGATGTCGTATGTCTAGAACCGGGCGACGCGGCTCCTGCGGATGGAATTGTTATCACAAGCCAGGAGATCAAATGTGACGAGTCCCTTGCCACAGGCGAGTCCGATCATGTTGAGAAGTGCAGTGGGTTCAAAGCTTGGGATAGTCGTGCAGCTAGTGGGTCAGAGCATGATATAGACCCCTTTATCATATCCGGGAGCAACGTCCTCGAAGGTATAGGGACGTACCTGGTTACCAGCGTCGGTCCACATTCAACGTATGGCCGAATCATGGTCGCTCTAGGGACCGAGACAGATTCGACACCGCTGCAGGTGAAGCTTGCGCGGTTGGCGAGTTGGATTGGGTGGTTTGGGCTTGGGTATCGCCTTCCTCTCCTTGACCACATGAATGAAGTAGTAGTACTGACGTCTCTGATGATAAAGGTCCGCATTGTTGTTATTCTTGGTCCTGTTTGTCCGTTTTCTGGTACAGATGTCGGCGAGCGAAGAGACGCCGGCTGTTAAGGGACAGCACTTCATGGATATCTTGATTGTTACTGTCACTGTGATTGTAGTAGCAATTCCTGGTAGGTACCCTCTTATATTCTATATGTTTGTGGCTTCCGTTATTGATCAATAACTAGAGGGCCTGCCACTTGCTGTAACGCTCGCACTGGCTTTTGCGACTGGCCGGATGTTGAAAGAGAATAATCTTGTTCGACTATTAAGAGCCTGCGAGACAATGGGTAACGCGACAGTGATATGCTCCGATAAAACAGGGACTTTGACGCAAAACAAAATGTCTGTGGCCTCGGGATTCTTCTACCACTGTGAGCCTTTCGGTGAATACCATTTGAGCGCTACTGCATTACCTATCTCGATATCAGAAACACTGAAAAAATTCTCGTCATCGTTTGAAGAGTTACTGCTTCACAGTCTGGCACTCAATACAACCGCTTTTGAAGAACAGCAAAGTGGGACCAAGGAATTTATCGGAAACAAGACTGAGGTCGCCCTTCTCCGGTTCGCACATCAGGATCTCGGATTGAACTTGTCTGAAGTACGGACAAACAACCACATCAAACAGGTCTACCCATTCGACTCGACCCGCAAGACCATGGCCGTGGTATATACTAGATCAAAGCGATCAGGATATCGATTACTTGTCAAGGGCGCACCGGAGATTCTTCTCACTGCTTCCACCCACATGGTCTCACCAGGGCCAGAGGGGGAAGATTTAGCTGCATGCGTGATCTCCCCCGACGACCATCGCTTGATATCAGAGACGATAGACGCCTATTCCCGAGCTTCGCTTCGAACAATAGGACTAGCGTATAGAGATTTACCCACCTGGCCATCAGTGTCCCAGGACCGTCAACCCAGCTTCGATGAGATCTTTCGTGACTTGACCTGGATTGGAACATTTGGGATTCACGACCCGCTAAGACCCGAGGTCCCCGGAGCAATTCAGACATGTCGTGCAGCCGGAATTCAGGTCAAAATGGTTACAGGTTCGTTCTTTAATTTTTACAGAGTATAGACGTGCACGCATTGACAAGGACAGGCGACAACATACACACAGCCCTCGCAATCGCCGAAGCATGCGGTATTAAGACAAATGACGGCATCGCGATGGAGGGGACTGAATTGCGGAATCTAAGAGAGAATGAGCTGGACATTGTCATCCCCAAATTACAAGTACTTGCGCGGTCCTCGCCGGATGACAAGGAGCTTCTAGTAAAACATCTCAAGCGCATTGGGGAGATCGTCGCCGTGACTGGGGACGGGACGAATGACGGCCCGGCACTGAAAGCTGCGGACGTAGGGTTCTCGATGGGACTAAGTGGGACTGAGGTTGCTAGGGAGGCGAGCTCGATTATTCTTCTAGATGATAACTTCAGCTCTATTGTTACAGCGGTTGCGTGGGGAAGGGCTGTGAATGATGCTGTGGCCAAGTTTTTACAGGCAAGCCTCCACGTATAATTGGAGTATAAGGATAATGCTGACTAGACAGTTCCAAATCACGGTCAATATTACTGCCGTCGTTCTCACAGTTGTGACAGCGATCTACAACAGCAAGAACGAGAGCGTGTTCAAAGCAGTGCAGCTGCTTTGGCTGAATCTCATCATGGATACATTCGCCGCACTAGCTCTGTACGCCCTACTCATCTTCACATGCGATGGTATGAAACTAATCAAGGAAGGGCAACCGATCCCCCGACATCCGACATCCTCAATCGCCCCCCAACGCCCCGCAGTGCCCCCCTCTTCACTGTGATAATGTGGAAGATGATCCTCGGCCAGTCAATTTACAAACTCGCCATTTGTTTTACACTCTACTTCGCCGGCCATTCGCTCTTCCACTTCAATAAATCCGACGAAGTCGAGATGCTCGAGCTGAACACAATAATCTTCAACACATTTGTCTGGATGCAGATCTTCAACGAGTTCAACTGTCGGCGGCTGGACAACAAATTCAACATCTTCGAGGGTATACACAAGAACAAATGGTTCATCGTGATTAACTTCGTCATGGTTGGCGGCCAGATACTGATCATTTTTGTCAGCGGCAAGGCATTTGGTGTGACTAGGCTTTCTGGTTGGCAGTGGGGTGTCTCGCTTGGATTCGCGGTGTTTTGTGTTCCTTGGGCGGCGGTATTGAAGCTCACTCCGGATGTTTATGTGGAGGTTTTGTTGGACATGTTTGCTAAGGTGATTAAGTGTGTATTGTCATGGGTTACCAAGGCGTATGAAAGGGTTATACCGGGGATAACAAGGTGTTTTCGTGCAGGTACTGGGTGGTCGAAGATGGGACGAAGGAGGGTTGTAGATGAGGAGTCTGCAACTGATATCAACCGCTGAAGCCAGGCCTGTACAGTCTGAGACTCGGACGCTATTTCCGCTCCTTTTCCGACCAAATTCTTCCTCTTCTTCTTCTATCCCAATTCCGAAATATGAAGACCGAAGCCATGGTCGAAGGAAGAGGTTGTCTTCGCAGCAGTAGCTTGCTAAGTGAAGTTCTGGCCTCCGTGATTGGCGTGGAGCACTTGGATAGAGTAGATGGAGGTTGGAATGCTCGCCGTTGTAATAAGATTCGGTGCAGCTAGTGCTATAATTGGTCTTTCATATCATTGCCCTGGCTTTGTTACTATGATCCATCATTAGGTATCTTGGCTGCGAGTTTTTATTGTGGTCTTTTCTCAGGATCAATAATTGTGCGATCAAATATTAGCTTGTTATTCACGCTTGATCTTGCTTTCAGAGACAGTCAAAGAGAGACATGGGAGGGGTACCATCGTCGCGTACATTGTATAAACAACATAATTGGGGGCATAACATTGTGCACGTCAAGAATATCAGTATCACGAGCATACCATTCCTCATATTGGTATTCTCACCCCATATCAAGTAGTAAGCTACCTCTTAATCCCGATAACCCGCTGAATAGCCTCATCATTACCCATAGCCTCGTCAATAACACCAGCGACCTTAAGCACATCAACAACACCACCAATAATCTTACCATCAACACCGCGAGTAGCATTAGTGAACTTAACATCCTTGAGCCACTCCTTCGCATCCTCCTCAATATAATTGCACCCAAGCTCACCAGTCCCCAAAAGTCTTACAACGCGCTCCGTATCAGACTCAAAATCCCTGATTCCTTGATCAAACGCCTTGAAAAGACTTTCCAATCTCTGATCTTGCTCGGGATCAGGGAACACAGCTGTAGAAGCAACAATCATCCACGAAGGCCACGGCGTAAAGATCTCGCCGATCTTCTTAAGTGGCGGATTCGGTTTCTCAGATGTAGCATGGAAATACGGCTTCGTTGTGAATTCCTCCCACATGAAGAACTCAGCCGACGGGGTCGCCGGCTGCTCAGGCTTTGACTCGTCGAGACCGGATACACCGTCCCGTAAAGGGCCGAAAGGTCCTAGAGGGACTGTTGTCAAAGAGTCGGCTTTCCAGCCTTGTTGTTGCGCAAGAACGAAGGACATAATATGAGAGCCGCTGAGCAATGTTAGGAAGGTAACAAGGTACTGTGATCGCACGTTGATAACTTACCTTCCCAGCCGGCTGACGCCGACCCTTTTGTCTTTCAGATCTGATACACCGTTTATTTCACCCCGGTTGCGGCCTGTGACTATCGCCCAGCGGAGAGGATTGTCCACCCAGTGGCCGATGACTTTGTATCCTCCGGAGGTCTGGCTTGCTTGCTTTCCGGCTAAGCCGGCGACCCATCCTTCTGTCAGACCGATTGCGAGGTCGATTTCGTTGCTGCGGAGGGATGTGATCATGTGGCCCGTGCCGGATGGGAAGGGGGTTAGGGCGAGTTTGAATGGGAGGGAGGAAATGGCTGGGGAACGGAGGGCGAGATGGAGGGGGGTTAAGTAGTGCTCTAGCAGTTAAATGGTATTGTTAGCTATATTTGTCTCAACTGAAGGAAGGCAGGCTTGAGACGAGACATGTAGCTTGCGCAGGGCAGCTGGTTGTTATCGAAGCTGTAGGGGCTTACCTGGCACATAGCCAATGCGGATTGTAGGAATTTCAGCCATTGTATAAGTCCTAACTGCGTTGAATCAAAGAATAAACAGCTCTTGGGGTTTGGGAAGATGGCAGAATTCCAACGCGGGGCAAACCCCTCACCAGACACGCGTACGCGTAATCGGAGAACTGCGCAAATAATTTTGAACATAGTATTGACATTATCTCATTCAAATTACAGATCTATAATACTGTTGGCCAATGCTAGTTATCTACAAAAATATTGAATCTAATCCATCTCCCGGGCTTTTCAATTCATTCGAATATCCTTCTCGTGATGATCCCAGCTACCATTCTGCTCCTTGAACTCGCCTGCGGGTTGGGAGCTGGAACGGGAATGGTAAGTGGTGAGGGGAATAGGGTGAGGATGGGAAAATGAGTTGGAGTGTGAGTGTGAAAGCGGGTTAGAGAACGAGGAGGAGAGCGAGTTTGAGTGGGAGTGGGACGGAGTTTGAGAGGGGGCGTTTCGAGTGTAGAAATAGAACTGGAAGCCCAGGTAGAAGTCGCACACGCACTGGAATATGCCACAGAGTTTGAACGCCCATGGGATGGTCTCTGTGCTGTTGAAGAAGTAGCTCATCTTCATGGTATCACCGAGAATCCATGCCGCAATAACGGAGACTCGGAAGCCCTTGCACGAGCCGGATCGGTGGTTGGCAAGGATTTGAGGGATAGGGAGGGTAGCTTCAGTGGCGAGTCCGATGTAGCCAAGGAGGCTGATATAGTATTCCGATTGCGCGACCGGGGTCAGGTGGATGAAGGTCAAGATTCCGACGAAGTAAGCTATACACAACCAGTATCTTTGGTTGGTAATTAGCGTTGATCACTTGTTGTTGCAGGCGCCGGAACTTACGGCTTGTTCTCCCTCCACTGCCAGAACTCATAGGGTCTTGACGGCGAGCCATCAGAGTGACTACCGCTGAAGGGTGTGTGTTCAATTCCGTGTCTCCCACCCGCGGAAGGCCGATTATCGAGTGCAACCTTGAGGAGCGCAACCTGCACCACGATCATGACAATTGCTTGCGTCAACAAAGTGCCTGAATAATATTCGCCAAACCAATAGAAAATCCTAGTCATGTTAACATTGGAGTACCCTGAACTTTGACGCGCCGTCAGGATCTTACTTCAGGATCGACGAAATGAGCATGATCAAAGGAATGTCCAATGAGAAGCCTGCCGAGCTTCTTGTGCGATGAATGCTAACAATCTGGTCGGCATAGGACGTGACGGGAGAGCTGATAAGGCTGTATACAGTGTTAGCACTACGTAGTGCTAGGGACGAATGGGGGCCACGTACAAGAAGGGGGCGGCATAGTCAAAGGCGATTTGAAAAAGAGACATGATGAGAATATAATCAGTCGCTACAATCGACGGGAGGAATGTATAGTCCCGAACGATAAGGGAAAGGCAGAGAAAAGGAGGTCGAAGTTCAAAAGGTACACTTGCGGTTTTTCGCTGCTCCCGGCCCTGATTATGTCAGCTTATCTCCACCAGGAACGGGGGGCTTTTTGGGGCTTTTCATGGGGGAGCCACTTGGCGGAATCTCAACCAATGAGATTAACCAATTCATTAAATAACACGAGGTCGGTTGCCTATCTTGGAAAAAAATATACAACATAGATGGCTCACAATGATAACCTGATTTGACATCATAATGAATCGTCCATTTCAATTCAACTATTCAACCCTTCCACATCTCTCTTTGGTCACTCTCTCACAAACATCCAAAATGAAGCAAAGGAATCTAACCGCCCAAGAACTCGAGTTCAAAGACCGTGAACGTGAGGTTCGAAGGCTTGAATTGGATCTTGACTTCAAAAAGCATGAGCTTGAAGTTAAACGCGGCAAAGCCGAGCTTGAAAGGCAGAGGCTTAGGATTGATCAAGAGAAAGCTAAGCTCCAAGAGGATGAGTCGAAACTCAAGGACCAGCTAAAAAGACTGGAAGCGTGTGAAGCAGACTTCCATGACAATGGATCCGATATAATCAGGCTGGCAATATCCAAGAATTTCAGGCGTGGTATGATATGCACGAAAGAAAGTGAACTCTCTGGGGACGCAAATGCCCTTCAAAGGTATCGATATGAACAGTACGTCTATGAACAAGACCTCGATGAAAAGGATGATGATCGCTTAGCGGAGTTTCTCGACACGGAGACCCGACTCCGAGAGATTGCTCAACAAGTAATACGCCTGAAAGATCAATTTGAGAAAGATCCAATAAGAATCGCAGAAGAGCTCATTGAGGCGCAAAAGGAATATACCCGAACTGAGTTCAAGTGGTCGATGATCCGGAGTTGCTTCTCCGGATATTTGGAGCGAGCCTTTGAGTACTGGCGGGGTGACCCTAGGTGGTATATGCATCGTGTTCTTCGGGAAGACTGTGCCCGGAGAGGAGGGTGCTGCGGCCGTGGGTGTGGATGTTGCCTTGATCGCAAACTTGAGTTGACTCACGAACGTGGAGCTGGGCACTGCACTGTCGAATGTGGTTGTTGTCAAGAGGCTCGGGGATATGAGCTTTCCAATGAAGAAAAGAAGGCCTTCTCGATACGATACGCGGTCTCTGAAGACGGCAAGAAGGACGTTGAACTAAAGGATGCCCCCCCTAAGATCGTCAACGATGGAAACCAACACGAGGAATCAATGGAGGACAACGTAATGCGATATGAGTTCTCCGAAGGTGGAGTTGCCCAGTATAAACTCTACCGAGATTTACCTGATGTCACCGACGACGAAGCTGAATTTACCGACGATGAGTATGCTGAAGAGGATGAAGAGGATCCTTACTATCGTCGTATCTCTCTTGCTTCGATCTGGGGATTGGTGGATGGGAACTTCGAGGACCCATTTGACTTGATTGACCAAGAACCCTTTGTAGGTGAAACCGATTCGACGATGACGGAAAGAGATTGATTGCTATACAATGACCTAATTACAAGCTGAGTTTCTTTTTGGTATCGCGAATCTGTTTGCTAACTGGCTGAGAATAATGTTGTTTAAACTTGCTATTGAATGAACAACTTTATCTTACTACATCTTACCTTAAGTATAGGCTAGATTGTATACAATAAGTACATACATAGTAGCTCTCTCAATTACTCAAAGTGGATATATATCAAAGCGGGGACAACGCGTTAACGTTAACGCGTAGCTTTTTTTTTTCCCATAAACAAAGACCGAGTATCCGAAAGACTCGAATTCTGGCAATAAACCAGACCACTTAATTGAGCGACCTGGAAATCCGCAATCATGCAAGAAATCCCAAATTTTCCGCAAAATCTGCTAGACAAAGTCAACGCAGCCCGACACAATCCCTCAGGCGACTCCAACGCTAAATACGTCTTTCATGTCATCCACCAGAACGACGACGATGATATGGACGCGTTTGAAGAGATAGACTCCGAGGATGAGGAAATGGATTCCGAGGATGACGTCGAAAGGCAAAGCACCTTCGACACTCTTGAGGAGGCCAACAACGCTGCATTAGCTCTTTTTAGAAGCATGTATGTGGATTTCTTTGGTCAAGAAGAAGATATGTCAAACTGGTATGAGGAGGGAACTAGCGATGAGAAGCTGAACGAGGTGGTATGGGAAGTCAATGACAAAGGCGAGGTTTCGTTGAAAGCCCACGAAACTGAGGATGGGATGACATATGAAATTTATGTTTCTGCTGAGAAGGTCTGAGGCTTGTGAGAATGAAAGCAGAAGAGAGAGAAGGAGGGGACAAGCAAAAGTAAATTCTTGTTTTCATTGAAGTCTTGGTTGCATACAAAGCCTCTCCTTTGTATGGAAAATGTCACGTTGAGAATTAAAATAGTCAGGAAGCATGCAATACAACCTGGCAGGAGTACTACGGAAAGCTCCCGGTACCTACGGACTGTGAACTAGTAATTAGGTGTAAGTGGTTGCACCAGTTTCGGGGCGTATACTATGTAGTAAGTTGAAGATTGAGCCCTTACATTAATTACTATCCAGCCAAGTATGCTTGAACAATTTTGAACAACCGGTTTCTTTGAACATCGTTTTATACAGGTTAAGAATTCGGATTTTTGGAAGGTAACGATTAGTTGTTAAATACACAAGGATATGTCCTATACAGCATATATTCCTTCTGAGTATTCGACTTGCAGATCTATATGCTTTCTTTCAACGCAAAGTATTGGTACGTCTAAATACACCGTCAATAGTGCCACCAGGATACTCGAACTCACTCACCGTGCATCACAGTAGGTAAGTGTTAGGGAGAAAGCAAAAAGGACGATATTTTATGCTATAGTTAACGACGGACCCACCTGACGACGCCCGGTTAACAGTGCGTAGCCAGTGGGACAGTAACTAATTAGTGCCAGTCCTGTCAGGATCGACAGCACCTAGATATGCTATGTAACTGGGCTCTACTGACACACTGGAAGAGAAAGAACGCGCAAAGGATTCCTCTAAGTCGCCACCCCGCCCCACTTACCAAGGACTGCGATCAGCACAGGGCCATGATGAGGCAGTCCCCCTTGACCTTGTACATCTAAATATCGAATTTTGGGCCCTTATCCCTTGACCTGTGGGAATGCCGTGTGGGAATGCCCCCAAACCTACCTTAACGGCCTAGTCCATATTGGGCCTAGCCTACACAGACCATGACGTTGCGATACTTCCCAAACAGGAAGGTTTGATAGCAAGGTTGGTGTGCACTTTGACTTTTGTAGCTGCTATGTGACTAGTTATAAAGATTGCATTGGGCCCCAACTTGCTGCGTCCTGTCTATTCTCCTGCTTAGCCTCCTACTTGAAAAAATACACCGGAATCAGCAGGGGTGAATCGAATCATATTATCCCACGATATTCTCGTCTGGTACTGCTGCCATGGCAAACGTCTACCCGTGCCCAGTCTACGACCCGGAACTTGTTGCTATCAACGGTAACCCGCCGTCGTTCTCGATCCAGACGACTCAGGATGTTTATGCCCTGCGACAGACTACAGCTTCCGTTCTTGAGGAGATTCTGAAAAATTGGCAGGTCCAGCATGAGACTTACACCGTCTCGGGCATTCAGAGGGATGATCTTCAAGTGTCGGTGTTTCGTCCGTCATCACCTGCACACTGCCAATCGCCAACCTCTCAAAAAGCTCCAGCTATCCTATACATTCATCCAGGCGGGATGATAGCCGGGGACCGCTTCACCGGGATCGAATTGTTGCTCGAGCACGTGCAACAGGAACATGTCGTCTGCGTTACAGTAGAATACCGCCTCGCCCCTGAACATCCATACCCTGCAGCTCTGGAAGACTGCTATGCCACTCTTGAGTGGGTCCGAGGCTATTCAGGCCGTTTAGGAATCGATCAATCCCGGCTCCTGATAGCCGGTATATCAGCTGGCGGCGGGCTCGCAGCAGGTGTCGCCCTTTTATGCCGCGATCGTGGAGTCTTCCCACCCCTCTGTGGACAGATGCTGCTTTCCCCCATGTTAGACGACCGCAACACCACCATTTCCAGCTTCCAATACCGAGCCCACGGAGTCTGGTCGCGGGAGAGCAACTTGTTTGCGTGGAAGTGCCTCCTTAATGGCGGCGGCAGTGATCACCAAGGGGTAGCAGCAAATTATGATGATGTCTCCATAGTTTACGCGGCACCCGCGCGCGCGAGTGATCTTGCCCACTTACCCCCGGCGTATGTTGAGTGTGGGTCAACGGATGTCTTCCGCGATGAAGATACCACGTATGCGTGTCGTCTTTGGGAACATGGGAATGAGGCAGAGTTACATATTTGGCCTGGGGGTTGGCATGCGTTTCAGATCTATAGCCCAGGGTCCAGGTTGGCGATCATGGCGGCTCAGACGCGGTCGTCTTGGCTTCGCAGGCTGCTGTTGCGCTTGGTTAGCAATGGCCAAGATCATGCCAAAGTTGCCGAATGACTGCGGAGGGAGTCAACGGTCGTACTGGTCAGTCTCTATTGTGTATAGCTTTTTAGATGCTAGAACCATGCTCACAAGTAACATTCCTCGGTCTTACTTAGAGATTTACAATTTTATATTCCTGGCACCTCTTTGGCAACGAGAGGTAGGTACTAGCTACTAGTATCAGCAAATTGTACTCATTCCGGTTCTTAAGAATCTCGGGCTAGGTATGGTACGTAATTAAATAGGAATCGACCTATAGCTGATGGTGACACATTTATCAAACAAATGCCATGTCAAACAAAGACAGGAAACGCGACTGGTATCTTTCACTTCCCAGAGTTCTTACGCGCCACACGAAAACCAGAACAGCTCACAGTATGTTTTTGAGATAGTGGTATGGTGGCTGGAACCTCCAATGGCAAGCTCCAAGGATGAGTCAGGGGGAACCGGTATATCCAAGCCGTTGCGAAGGGCCTCGTGCTGTATAGCGTCAAGATCCACTTGGAAGCTGAGGGACAATCTTGCGGCATCAATCGGCAGTTCAAGAAACAGGAACATTGCCTCTTGATATTCCATGATACTATGCTGGTATCTGGCTCGCTTCACAACAGCAAGGATTTGGATTGTCTTTGACCACAGCACCCGTGACGCCTTCGGGGTGAGTGGATACGGGCTGCGCAGAAGAGTCCAGAGTAATAACTCTGCAGAGCGTAATGATTTGTTGTTGGGTAAACATCGCTCAAGCGAACACAGGAATAGCTCGGCGGCTTCAGACAAGTCTCCGAGCTCTAGGAGCATCAGATTTATGTATATAATGCATGCAAGCCTACAGTTATCCGTCCTGAGCCGGTCGCCAGCCATTTGTATAGGCTGGTTCGGGTTCAGGTTCGCTGCAATCGGGTAGGAACCTCCTAGGGCGTTGTTCCGGCGTAATTCTGGGCTCAGGACCTGGTGAAGAACGGTACCAGGCTGAAATCCCATGAGCCGTCGAGGGTACATCTCATACTGGAGCTTGGAATCAGCATCGGAGGAGGGTAAGAGCCGCAGTATGGAGGCTCTTCGACCGGTATAAGACTGAACGAAACAATGGCTGTTGCTGACCATTTCCTCGGTCGGTATTTCAAAGTCATAATTTGCTTGTGATGCCAACGGATTGCGAGGGCAATTGAAATAACCATCGCGTGCATTCAACAGCGCGAAACAATTCCACAAAATTTTGCTATACATGAGATCATGAGCTGTGAATGCTGCCGCACCGCCTCGGGCATCAATGATGTCGTACATTGCCCGCCAATGAAGCCGAAATGTATCCAAGTCACCCCACAAGCGTTCTGCAATGGCGAGTTGATAAATTGCTAATATCGTGCCGTTGTCGGGATGCACCCCTCGTGCCCTAGAATACTCCAATTGCCTGCTCACCTCCCCGAGGGCCTTGATGTTGAAAGCGAGGGATAGGTTTCCCGCCACTTCATTTTTATAGAGGTGCTCTCTGTGACGGGCGGAGTGGTACAGCATCCCTAGGAACGATGCAGGATGCAGGCTGTATAGTTGAAACAAATCTACACTAGGCTCATGTTTGGAAATACCCGACTCGGCGGAATCTAGGAGCAGGGATGGAATGACTCTTGTATCTGTGCATGAGTAGTCAGTATGGGTAGTATCCAATGTGATAGAAAGAGATCAATACAGTGGTCGACCAGCTGTAATACTTCGGGAGATGACTCGACCGGCAAGGTGTGGAACGGGTCTAGACTGCATGATAACGGGTCCATAAGAAAGATGGCTGGACACTGATGGGAGCCCAATTTCATGCGCTGGATCTCTTGGCAATCCTTCTTGCTTCTCGCATTGGTATTATCATCAGCTGGAGAAGAGTGGGCTAGTGTTGGACGGCTGAGGCGTGCTTGTTTCTTGGCCGCATAGTCACGCCACCTGCGTTCTCGCAAGCGCTCAGTTACTAAATGAGAGCGGGCATTCCTTTGTCTATGGCCGCCCGTCGAGTCCACAAAATGAAATACTCGTTTAAAGGACGCTGTGGTGACAGCGCTAGGTTGACCGGTCAACAGGGGTGACGGAAGTTCCATGGGAGGTTATTAGAGCGTTGTTGGGCAAAAGCCTTAATGTCTGTCGCAGTGAAAGCGCACCTTAATAGCTCTCTAGAGGCCATTAGGGTTGTGTGTATGAGAACAAGGAAGAACCATCCGATTCTTAATATTACGCTAACCCTTCTAGGAATAGCGCCATCAGACAATGACGTTGCGATACTTCCTAAAAGGGAAACTCAAAACCCTATAATGGACGACAGACACAGCTAGAGTTCGCCCAGCTTCCATTGACCTCTATAGTTATTAATAATAACAAAACAAGGTGAGATTCAATGTTCGAGGACAGTACTGACCGGAGACTCATGATACTATATAAGCATGTCTGCGACCCATTCCGTCAGACACTACAAGTCTTCAACTTTTTTCTCCAACTACGAGATGTCTTCCCTAAATTCTCCAAATATCATTCTCTACACGACCCAGACTCCGAATGGGAACAAAGCATCCATTCTCCTGGAAGAACTGGGCATCCCTTATCGTGTCTACAAACACGACTTCGCCGCCCGAACTCACAAGGAGCCGTGGTATCTGGATGTCAACCCGAATGGCAAAATCCCTGCCATTACGGACGTCTTCAGGGACGGCAAGGAGATTCATATCTGGGAGTCAGGCAACGTCTTGAAATATCTCGTCGAGCAATATGACCCTACCTTCAAGCTCTGGTACCCTCATGGAACCCGAGAGAACTATG